GCCCTTCATGCTAGAGTTAGGCACACACACAACGCCAGACCCTTGTTGCCTATCGCAATTATTATCCTTAACCCTGCGTCCACCCCTTGGGGCAGGTTCATTTGCTTTCCTGGGTCTGTCTCCATCTTTGTAAATTGGTACCAATAATGCCAGCCCCATGACAGCCACTCTGTGAACCTGGCTTTGCTCCTCTCTCTGCCCGGGAGGGGTTGGGTGTCCTGGGGTACCGCGTTCCCCAGTGGAATCGGGCGAGGTCCTAAGCAGGGTGGTGACAGCGTCCAGATTCCCAAATGGCATGTGTATTACAGTGTGTGTGCGTTCCCAGAGGAGGCGTTGAAGGGGGCAGGGGACTGTCCCAGCCTGGTCCTTAGGGAGTCTGGTGGCACCGCAGAGCCAAGGAGGGGCCTGCACCGTACCACCTCAGCTCTGCAGGTCCTGGGAAGGGGAGGGGGGTCTGTGCACCGACTGTCAGGAGACGGGCTTTGAGCCCCGGGGGGGGGGGGGGCGTCAGTAGTCAGTCAGTGGTTTTGTTGCTGCAGTGCTCAGTCCCTGCTGCTCAGTGGCTCCCAGCCCTTCGTCCCTCCAGTTGCGTGAAGGTGGCCGATCTCCTGGCTCCCTCTGGTCTTCTCGAGGCTTCTCGGCTCCCGCACCCCTGCGTTGGCCGGCCCCGGAGGTTTGCTGCTGGACTGAGTGGATTCGGCCCACCTGGTGGGATCCTGTCCAAAACAGGGTCACTGCCCGCCCCGGGACACTTCTGTCAGATGCCCCAGGGGGCAGGGAACTGGACTTGGCTTTGGAGACAGTGTGGTCCGCGGGACGGGCACAGACTGTGGAATCTGACAGAAGGAGTTTCAGCTCTCAGCCTGAAGCCATGGGTCGGTGTGTCTAGTCTCAGTTTTTTTGTTCTTGTTTTTTCCCAAAGATTTTATTTATTTGTCAGAGAGAGAGAGGGAGAGAGAGAGAGCGCATAAGCAGGGGGAGCAGCAGGCAGAGGGAGAAGCAGGCTCCCCACTGAGCAAGGAGCCCGATGTGGGGCTCGATCCCGGGGCCCCGAAATCATGACCTGAGCCCAAGGCAGACGCTTAAACGACTGAGCCGCCCAGACGTCCTAGTCCCAGTGTTCTTACCTGCAAGGGGAGAAGTGAGGGGTCAGCGCTGGGCTCGAAGCACCTGCTTTCCTGACAAGTCCCCACGACATTCTACGAGGAGGTGCTGGTGGACGGGGGAGGCTGAGCTGAACTCCCGCTGTGGGGCCACGTGAGTCTGCCGCCCCCCTGTGTCACCTCCCTCTCAGGTCGGGGTGGGGGGTGCCCTGGGCCAAGTGCCTGGCACAGTGTAGGTCGTTTACCATGGCAGCTGTGTTCGTGCCTTTCTCTTCCCTTTGGGCTACATCCCATTTCCAGCACCCTCTACCACGGCACACCTATCAACCGCGTTTGGGCCCCTTGCTTTGCCCTGAGCCTCCCTCCTCAAGCTCTAGTTCAGCTCCCCCCCTTCTGATCCCACAAGTCTTGCCAGCCTCCTACTAACATGTCAGCCTCTCACACTTAGGGGTTTTGACCCGGGTTCCAGCTGAGCCCCTGATCTGTCCTGCCTTGGCTTTATGCCTGTGCCCTGGCCCAGCTTGTCTGTCATCAAGGCCAAAATGTCATTTCTCTTCCTGCCATCATTTGTGGTAACCACACAGGAGGCTGGAAACTGGGACCGTTTCCTTTCGCTCTCTCTCCTCCTACGGACCAGCCCCGTGCTCACTCCCATAGCCTTCCCTCAAGGGTCCTCCTGCCCCTGCCCCTTTCAGCCCTAACCCCCAGCCTCTGCCCACCCCTGTGAAGGCTTCCCCTCTCTACTCTCCCTGGCCAGGGTCACCTGCCCAAAGCTCAGAAATAGTCGTGTAGCGAAGCCCCATTGTTAGCTCTTGTGATTTAATGTGTTAATAAAAAATTGTGTGTTTGTGCATGTATATCTCATTGATTTAGTCTTTTGATAACTATGGGTTGTTTTTTTTAAAAGATTTTATTTACTTATCTATTTATTTATTTAGAGAGCAAGCACAGGAAGGGGGCAGAAGGAGAGGAGAGAGAGAACCTGAAGCAGGTTCCCCTCTGAGAGCAGAGCCCCACGTGGGGCTCGATCTCACGACCCTGAGATGGCGACCTGACCCTAAACTAAGAGTCTGAAGTTCAACAGACTGAGCCCACCCAGGGCCCCTGATAACTGTGTTTTGAGATGATTGGTTTCCTTTGTAATTCTTTGCACTCTATTGTTGGGATTTCAAGCCTTTATTCAGAGAAAGCTCTGGAAGTCTGGAGCTGTCCCGCTTCCCTCAAACCACTCCCACGCCGGCCCCGAGCACACTCATCTGCAGCCCACATGCGTGCTCAGTGTGCTGCTTCTCTCCCATGAGCTTTTTTAATTTTTTAAAAGGATTTTGTTTACTTGAGAGAGAGAGAGAGAGAGAGAGCCGTGAGCACAAGCAGGGGTGGGGTGGGGGGGTGGGAGGGAGCAGACTCCCTGCTGAGCAAGGAGCCCAACGTGGGGCTCAGTCCTAGAACCCTGAGATCATGACCCGAGCCAAAGGCAGACGCTTCACCAAGCGAGCCACCCAGGCGCCCCTCTCCTGTGAGCTTCTTGAGACAGGCCTGGCTGCGAGCTTGTGTTGAGTTCCCGTGCGTGTCATGGGGAACGAAATGGTTGCAAAACAGGCTAAGATGCCCCGGTCTCCTGAACTCCGCCTGGGGCTCCCCAAGCCCAGCCTCATGAGGTCCCTCAGTGGAGGCCGATCCAGGGGTCTGAGGCCCACCTGAGCCCCACCGTACCCCACTACACCCCAAGTGTCCCAGGTAATGTACATCATACGACGGTGTAACGTACAATGTACATCGGGGTCTCCAAACCACCCTGCCTTACAGGCCCTGGGCATTTGCCGCCAGAAGGGCTCTCCCAAGCCTCTCTCGGGCCCGTGTGGCAATGAAGAAAATTCTTGCCAGCGGTCCTGCCCCCAGAAACTCTGGGAGACTCCTGTCTGCCCCTCCCCTGCCTTGCTTTGTAAAGTTACGTAAAAGCTGAACTTTCTGGAAGCCAATGAAGTCCCACACTAGATGGGAGATTAAAGACACAATGAACCAATTTAAGCGCCCACACATTCTACTGTGCTTTACAAACGGAGCATTCAAAGACAGGGAGTGGCTTTGGGGAACTTATTAAATTGTTAGAAAAAAAAATCAAAACAGCTCTGAAAGGAAAACAACAGGATGGGACGCTGAGCTCCAAACTGCAGGCCCAGGTCCCCCTTGCGGACCACCTGCTTTGGTGGTGAAGGCCCGTCCCCTGCACTCTGGGGACACAGCCCAGCCCGTGCCAGCCCTGGGTGGGAGCTCAGAGCCTCAGGCCCTCCGTCAAGGCTTGTTGGGCCACAAGCTGATGATCAAGAGGACAGAGCCAACACACAGTTAGTTCAACCTTGTGAAGAAACCGTTGTTGTTGTTTTTTTATTTTTATTTTTAAAGGGGTGGTTGCTCTTTCTAGAAAATTCCCAAAGTGCCTGTGGAAAAATAAGGAAACCGAAGCTTCCAACTCTATGTTTCCACCATCCACAGGCCAACAATCTCTACCCGAGCAGCCTCCAAGGACACTGTGCCAGGAAAAGAGAGGCTTGAGGTCACGTGGGATGTGGCTTCAGCCACTGTGGGCCACGCCCCCTGCAGTCAGTCACGTGGACCCGTCGTGGCTGGACTGCCTGACCTTTCCCCAGGAGCTTAGTTTTTTGTGGCTCTGTTTGCTTCTAGTGTAGTGTTGTAACTACTAAATATACAATTTTGCCGAATGTTTTCGTGTCGTTATATTGTAAGAATTCTCCATCGTCCATTCATTTTAAGCGTACTTTTCGTGGGCTGCATAATATCCTGAAAGGTGGGGAACCCTGCATCCCTTAACTAATGCCCCACTGTTGGGCATTTGGGTTTTTCCAGTTTTGCTTCATTTGCCATTTTAACCAATACTACATTCGTTTTTCGGTGCCTTAAACTTTATACCAGTTCTGGGCCGTCTCAGCATTGGCGGAGGGCTGAGTCTGTGCAAGGTGTTATGCGAGGTTGGGGATAAGCTACACACAATCCCTTCACGTAAGATGCAGATATAAATAACTTTAATCCGAAGTCAGTTATCGTGGCATAAGCAGACAACTAGAGCTGGAATACAGAATAGTTTTGCCTGGGTTTAATGGGATTCTAGGAAAGTTACGGGCGGATATCTGCGCCCTGGTGTCTGCAGCTGAAAGGTAAGGGTGAGGGAGTGGAGGACACCGTAGGGAGGGCTGCTTTAGCTGGGGGATCCAGGCCTTAGGGCTTCCCCTAAGGCGGCAGAGCAGGGGGTCAGTTGAAGGTGCAAGGTCATCTCAAGTGCAAGGTCAGTTGAATGTCCGTGGCCACCACAAGCTAGGTGGTCTGTGGCTCAGCGGAAAGACACCAGTGATTGTCCCCCATGGACCCAAGTTCGTGGAGAGCTAGCAACAAGACCCCTGGCGGATGGGGCCCATCCCCAGCCCTGAGATGGTAATATTCAGGTGGGATTCCGGGGCTGCCCTCAGCTTGCGTGATGCCAAAAATTATTTCTCAGGGTGAGACTACTGGATCCATTGAGATCATGATTCATCATGTGTCATGGACATCTCAGACTGTATGTGTTTTGGGATTCTCCTTTGGAGGGGCTTCAACCCACAGAGACAGAAGAGGGTTGGTCCTGAGTCCCCAGCTAGGGTGAGCGGGAGGCAGGGACGCTGAGAGGCCGGGGAGAATTTCTGCCAGCCCGGCGCCCAGGGCCCGCTCTCCCATAGGAGAGACCCCATCTCCTCTGTGGTCCTTTGGAGGACTGTGCAACCGAATGGGAGCACCAGGAGGGGCGCTGGTGGGATGCGGGTCTGTCCCCAGCGTCGGTTCCACCCCCCACCAACACTACCCGGCGTTCTCACCCGCCGGCCTGATCTCATGTGGTCCTGCCTTCAGCCCCCGCAGGTGCCATGACTCAGCCGCCCCAGGAGGACTTCGACAGGAGCGTGGAGGACGCCCGCGAGTGGATGAAGGCCGTGCAGGAGCGACTGCAGGTCAACGACAACACCCAGGGGCCCCGGGCGGCCCTGGAGGCCAGGCTGCGGGAGACCGAGGTACGCAGAGGCTGTGGCTTCTGTGGCCCCATGGCCTTGGCAGTGTCCCTCCCCTATCAGGCCTCAGGTTACCGGGCTGATAAATGACAGGGGTGTGTCTCAAACTTGGATGTGTTGGAATCTCCCGGGGATCTGGGTTTGAGTGCTGATTCTGATCTGGGAGGTCAGGGCAGCCCCCCCGCCGGGGTCCCCGCATCTTATCTCCCCGCCAACAGTATTGCTGACGTGATCCGGGTGACGCAATTGCAGCTGGTCCTGGGACCATGCTTGCTCAGCTGCCTTCTGGTTCTTCTGCACCAGCAGAGGCCCATGCGGCCAGGTGGGTCCCTAGCATCCTCCTGCTTCCCTGAGTCCCTGAGCCGAACGTCCCTTCCAGGTCTGGGTGGGTCCAGATCGGCCTTCAGGAGGGTGGTTCTGCCCAGTGAGAAGTGACCCCAGGGCCAGGGTCTAGCCTTGCTCCCCACAAGGCAGGGCTCAGGGCCTGTGGTGCTATGCCTACTAGAAATGCTGGTGCCCGGGGCCTGGCCTGGCACTGCGCTGCCCCCATCCACGGGCACCTGCTCCAGGCCCAGGGACAAGACAGAAACATCAGCATGGATCAGAGAGGTTGGACTCTCCATGCTGATGCTAATGTGCTGTGTGACCTTGGCCAAGTCCCTCTCCCTCTCTGGGCCTCAGTTTCCCATCTGTGAGCAAAGCCGTGACAGACACGTCTCTCAGGTCACCTCTATCGGGATATCCTGCAATTCTAACTTGTCACCTAACAATGATCGCTTTTAAGGGAGGCTTACTTTCTCCGACACAAACCGATCTCCCAACCGGGCTAGAAGTCGAGCTGACCCCACACCCAGTGTCCTGGGTTGCTTTCTTTTTTTCATGTAGTCTTACTGATTTGTTGCATCTTTCTGAAAATATCTAATGCTCTTTTTAGAAATGGACGGTCAAAATGAAGAAATTCATATCACTTTGTAGGGCTGATATTTAAGGCTCAACACAACATTGTGAAGGAGGAGCCTCAGTTACATATGGGGAAACTGAGGCCTAGGTCATGCGACTCGTCCACATTGGAACAGTCTCTGGGTGGGACATTCCCTCCTGGAATTCGGATCTTCTGAGTCCTTGTCAGATGAGCTTTCTGCCTCCCTACAGCGTCATGTGCTCCTCTGATGACCAGAGATGCTATTCACAATAAAACTGTGCCCGGCAGGGCAGAAAGCAGAGCGTTCTGGTTTCTGCAACATTCTTCTCATAGAACAGCTCACTGGATTTGAGTGACACCAGGCTATGGAGTCTGGACATCTTGGGTTCAAATCCCAGCTCGCCTTCTTGCTGGTTGTGTGAGCACCGACCAGTCGTTTGACCCTGTTGGGCCTCCATTTACTTCCCTTCTAGAAAGGGATGGTGCTAATTATCTCAGAATGGCGCTTCTCATGCCTTCAGTGGCCTGACTCTGGTGGACCAGAGACCTGCCCTTTTGAGTCATGTTTTTTCACAAGCTTCCCCTACGGCAGGCCTCAGACCATGGTCTTGGGACTCCCAGGTGACCGACTCGTTCCTGTCCGCTGCCCTCAGGTTGCTCCCGACACAGTCCCTTGCCACACACCTGATTAAACACAGCCCTGTTCCTGCAAGGTAGGCGTGGAGGGCCCCCCCCCCACCTCTCCCAGTGGGGGGTGTCGCCTGCTTGCCGGGGCAGCATGAGCACTCGCCATCCTGGGCCACGTGTCCTCCTAGGACAACCAGGAACAAGTGCTTGACGGGGCTGGTTAAAGCCCCCCACCAAGTGACCGTCAGGGCAGGAAGGCAGGGACACTTTTAAGTCCTATGATCAAATGCTTCCCGATTGGACAGTGAAATGAGGGGAGAACCCGGGGTTCTTGGAGAACCCCAGGGAGGTTGTGTCTCCCAGTCTGGGAGATCAAGAGCATTCTCTGGGGACAAGTGACTTTACTGTTGAAGCTCCAGTACAGAGGAGGTAGTCGGGTGGGGGACTGCAGGGGCGAGGGTGGGGAGGAGGGGGCTCCAGGCAGAGGGAACAAGTAAGAAGGGCCTGGAGGTGGGCAGAGCCCGAAGCACACACTCGGAGCCCTAACGGGGCTGGTGTTGGGACAGCACCGGGTGTCAGGCAGAAGCAGGGGATGGGGCCAGAGAGGTGGTTAGGGGTCAGTCGGGGACAGCCTGGAGCACCAAGCCGGGGGGCTTGGATGTCTCTTCCGCAACAGGGGGGATGGTGGTTTGGAAATTCGGAGGGTCTGGGATTGAAGGACTCCCACTGGAGGGGAGCTGGCATCCCGAAGCCCCTTCCTGTGTCAGACTTGGCCTTCCCCATCAGCAGCATTGTTATTGCCACCAGGAGGCACGTACCAATGACCGTCCTCCCAGATCACCAGAGCAGGGGCGCGACATTCATTCACCACCTGTCAGTTCCTCCGGGCAGCACTCTCCGCTTTCATGTTTATTTTACAAAAGCCCTGTGAATGCTGTTTTACCGTGCCTACTTTTCAATAGCAACCTGTGATTCCTGGACACAGTGAGGAGCCAAAACTCCAGAAACTGATCTCGTCAGGGCTTGAACCCGGGCATGAGTCCTGAGCGTCGCTGGCCGTCCCCATGCAGGGGCCTGGGGCAGTGGAGGCAGGCGAGGTCCACCTTACCCCAGGGCTCACGACCTAAAGGGGGACAGGTGTCCCAGAATCCACGCCACACAGGGTGTCCTGATGTTACGATGTGATTCTCCTCCTCTGAAACCTTCCATGGCTCCCTGTTGCCCACCAAAGAAAACCCAGACTTCACCTGATGTCCAAGTCTGCTCTTCCCTACTCAACCCTGCTTTCCAGCCTCAGCTGCTCCAGCCCTCACCTGAGCAAGCACATGTCCTCTCCTGTTGGCACACAGCCTAGATGTCCGCTCAGCAGGCCTCTGGCCTGTGCTCTTGCCTCTACTTGGAACACCCTTTACTGATTGTGGGTGTGGGTGTGCTTGTGAAATGAAGCACCGCCCCCCCCCCCCCGCCTCTCCACCCACAGCCCAGCTCCTGATGCTCTCAGTCCTGGAACACTACAGCCCTGTATGTACCCGCTGTCTCAGGGTACTACCCATCCCTTTGGACCTGGCACCCGTATACCGGCAGGTCATCACCCTCTGGTGGTGTGAGGCGGGGATGGTAAGCCGAGGCGGGGGTGGTCCTGAGGAAGAGCCTGTGCCCACCCCTGGAGCCTAGGGGGAGGGGTCGTGTCCTGGGTGCTCTACCACCAGCTCTCCCATGGCTCAGGCATGCTCCATTCTGGGCTCTGACATTTCAAAACCAATTTCGCAATAAAAAAGAAAACATTTCTCTCCTGCCATCTGGTGAAGGGAGCTGCTAGGGACTTTTCCACCTACCCAGTCCCTGGGACCTCTCTCTGGGGTCTCGGGGTCTCCCTTGTGGGTCCCCCCGCCACCCCCAGCTCAGTGATGTGTGTTCCTGGTAATCATTTGCTGGAGTGGCCAGGGTGTAAGTTCCAGTCCAGCTGTGACACCTCATAGCTCTGTGGCCAGGAGTGAGTCGCATGCCCTCTGCGAAGCGCAGGGAGGGTCCTCTCCCCGTCGTGCAGCTCAAGGACCCCCAGGGTGGTGGAAGCCTTCTGGAAAGGGAGACTGGAGAGTGTCACTCTGGAAACTGGGGCTCTGGCAGGCTGGGGTTCGAATCCCCGCATGGCCGTGGTGCCTCGGGAGAGTTTCTGGAACACCTGGAGCTTAAGATTGTTGGGGTGGAGGTGGGGTGGAGGGAGCAGGGAGGCAAATGGCTTACTGGGGTCCTTGGCCAAGTGCAGACCCCCTGGCAGAGCTGGCCCGGTGGGTGAGGTAGTTTCTCGTGGTTTCGATGCAGGAATGGGTGCGTGCCAACCCTCCCTGCCCGTGCCCGAGCCTCCGGGAGCTGGTCCCCTGGGTGCCGGCATCTCGTCTCTTTGCCCTCTGGTTCCCAGCCTCCATGGCCCTGCTCCGGGACCATGCCTCTGCTGGGCTGCTTCCTGGCTGGCTTCCAGACCACCGGCTGTGGTCAGAAACAGGTTTCGTTCCCTAGGACTTGGCTTCCAAATGCCGGACACACTGTGCCTGAACACCTCGTGCTCCTCTACCTCTGCTCAAGCCCCCGTCGCAGAAGCTTGCATGTCACTAAGAGCTGGCGCCCGTGCCACCTCCTCACAAAGCCTCCTCGGGTTTACCCATGTCCCTCCTTGGAACTCTGGTCATTACCTTGTTGTGTCTGTGGCTCATTTACAGTCCTCTGTGCTCTTGGCTGCAGACCCTACCACACCCTGCAAGCACTGGGCCGTATTGGTTCATCCTGGACCCCAGGACCCAACACAGTACCTAGCAGAGTACTGAGAATAGTACCCAATATAGTACCTAGTATCATACCCAGCATAGCACCCAGCATAATACCCAGCACAGTGCTCAACTCAATACCAAGCATAGTCCTCAACACGGTGCCTAGCATATGCCCAGCATAATACCCAGCACAGTACTACACATAGTACCCAGCATAGTACTCAACACAGTACTGAGCACAGTACCCACCATACTGCCCAACTTAGTACCCAGTATAGTACTGAGCATACTACCCAGCACAGTGCCCAGTATATTACCCACTATAGTTAGTGCCTGGCATAATACTCAGCACAGTGTCCAAGTCAGTACCCAACACAGTACTGCACATAGTGCCCAGCACAGCACTAAGCGTAGTACACAGCACGGTTCCTGTCTCATCCTAGCTGCACTGGTGAAAGCCCAGACTGACCCTGTTCCTCCAGCTTTCCTGATCTGGTTGTTCTCCTCGCCCCTGAGGTTTTTGTGCCATCCAAACCCCACCAGACTGTGACTCTCACTGGCTCCTTAAGCAGGATCATTCTGTGGCTGCAGGTCGAGTGCCCCTTCCCAGCGGGCCAGCGCCTCCTGCCAAGCACTCCTGGATCTTGCCTTTGATCGCTGTAAACGAGCTTCCCACCAGCCAGAGAGCGTTGTCCTGACAGCAGTGAAGGAAGGTGGAACCGGCTTCTTAAAAGCTTAGGCCCAGCCTCCCGGCCTCAGGCCGATGGCAACTACCCGACTGGTGGATATTTTGGTTGGGGGACAGATGTTTCTGCTTTGGGCCGGGAGGGGCTGGCGTTCTGTCTGCCTTTGGGCCTGGCCGGCTCTCCCCTGTTTGGTAGGGAAACCTCAGACTCCCTCCTCTGCAAAGGGCAGAGGTTTGAGAGGGCTGCCGTGTCTCCTCCATCCAGCCTGCACCTCTCCGAGCAGAGGAGGCAGGAGAGCAAAAGGCCAGAGGCCTACAGGAGGTCACACCGTCAGGACAGTAGGTTGTGGGAAAGGGGCCGTTGTTTCCTGGGGACTTTCCAGGCCTGGCTGGCGCTCTCTCTCTGGGGGTGAGACTGAGCTCAGCGTTTTACCCCCAGCCACTGGCCCCATGGGTTTATAGAGCCAGATTCTGACGGAGCCTCATTTGGGGGGCAGGTATGAGGAGGCCGCTCCCACTGCTGTGGAGAACTGTCCCGCAAGGCTTCAGGTTTCTGTGGGTTTCCAGTGCCCTTGCCTATGAAACTGCCATTACCGGGGCACCCCTCTTGTGAGCTCAGGGTGTGGGCATTCCGTCTACTCCTCAACACTGGGGGTCAGAAATCTCGGGTCCTTCATCAAATTAGATCTCTGAGATGACAAGAAATTGATCCTGAGCCTTACTGCGGGACCCCTGCTCCTGAGTGGAATGACATGGTCTGTGCAGGGGGTGGGTAATCTCCCTCAGCCCTGAACATTCCGCAGGGGCCCCCAGATCTTTAGTCCACGCTAACTACTAGGGTGTCTTTGTCTTCCACATCACAGCCTGATACTGAGAGGGACCCAGCAACTCTGTAGGGTTCTTTGGGGTCCTGCTGTATCCCCCTGCTTGGCCAGGCCCCAAAGCAAACAAAACCTCTTTTCCCCTCTTGGGGTAGCTCCCTGCTCTCCACTCTGCCTGTACCACCCACCCCGATGCTCACAGACCACAGAGAGCCTGAGAAAGGAGCTTGTTTAATGTCACTCTTTGAAAATACAGGGAGGACGACAGGCCCCTATCATCGTCATCACCGTAATTGGTAACCATTCTCCTAGGAGGTGACAAGGGCTGACACCACTGCCCATTTGCACGTGTTGGAAAAGGCCCTACATCATATCTCAACCTTTTACAAAGTATACTAACCCAGCAATGTTTTAAGTAACTATATTTGTTTAGATTAATGGCATAACCCTATGAGGTAGACGAAGTGGGGATTGTTATCACTATCTCAGGGTGTGAAAGGGAGGCCCAGAATGATCTGTTGACCTGCCTGGGGGCACACAGCCATCAGCGAAGTGGCATCTGGCTTCCCTCACCTGGTCCCAGTGCCCACCACAGAGAAGGGTCCCAGAAAGCCAGGCCCTGGGACTTCATGCCGAGAAGGCTGGCAGCCAGTCACCAGGGAGACAGGTGGGACAACTAAGCTTGAGCGGTAAGCAAATGTGCTGTCACCGCACAGGGATCAAAGGTGGGAAAAGTCAGTGCTAACAGTGGACAGTTGGTAGCTGACAGTGGAGCATGGCCAGGTGACGGTGTGCCCAGGGCTCTCCCTGCATCAGGGAGTGTGACCATGACCCTGAATGGCGTCAGGCTCGCATTTTACAGGCCTGGAGAGTCTTAAGTACTGTGATGAAAGTCACACGGGTAGGAGGGAGTGGCTTTGGAATTGGAATCCAGTTGTACTTTTATTACAGAGGCCACACTTTAGTGGCCAAAGAAGTAAATAATGCCAGTCAATAAGGAGACAACCTGCTGTTAATCAAAGGCATGCTAATTGCTACACATGGTGTGTTAGTCTGGGTCCTCCAAGAGGCCAAGGCCAAGGTGAGATAAAAGCTCAAGATGGTTTAATACTGGGAGTCCTGGCCTCAGCATCAGAGAGCAGAAAGAAACAAAAGGCGCCCAAATTGGCAAAGAAGAAATCACTCTGTCTGTCTTAGCAGCCCACATGATTCTCTATGTAGAAAACCTGAAAGCCTCCAGCAAAAAATTGCTAGAACTGCTACAGGAATTCAGCAAAGTCACGGGATATAAAATCGGTGCACACAAGTCAGCTGCATTTCTATATACTAACAATGAAGCAGAAGAAACAGAAATCAGGGAATCGACCCCATTTACAACTACATCAAAAACCATAAGATTAAAAAAAATAATAAGATACCTAGGAATAAACCTAAACAAAGAGGTAAAGGGTCTATACTCTGAAAACTATAGAACACTCATGAAAGAAATGGAGGGAGACACAAAGAAGTAGAAAAACATTCCATGCTCATGGACTGGAAGAACAAACGTTAACATGTCTGTGCTACCCAAAGCAATCTACATGTACAATGCAATCCCTACCAAAATACTATTGACATTTTTCACAGAGCTGGAACAGACAATCCTACAATGTGTATGGAGTCAGAAAGACCCCAAAGAGTGAAAGTGATGTTGAAAAAGAAACCAAAGTTGGTGGCATCACAGTTCTGGACTTCAAGCTCTATCACAAAGTTGTAATCATCAAGACAGTATGGCACTGGCACAAAAACAGACACAAAGATCAGTGGAACAGAATAGAGAGCCCAGAAATGGACCCTAAAGTCTGTGGTCAACTAATCTTCAACAAAGCAGGGAAGAATGTCCAATGGAAAAAAGACAGTGTCTTCAACAAATGGTTGGGAAAATTGGACAGCAACATGCAAAAGAATGAAACTAGACCATTTCCTTACACCACCCACAAAAATAGACTCAAAATGGATGAAGGACCTCAATGTGAGACAGGAATCCATCAAAATTCAAGAGAAGAACACAGGCAGCAACCTCTTCGACCTCAGCCACAGTAACTTCTTGCTAGACACGTCTCCAAAGGCAAGAGAAACAAAGGCAAAACTGAACTATTGGGACTTCATCAAGATAAAAACCTTCTGCACAGCAAAGGAAATAGTCAGCAAGACTAGAAGGCAGCCTACAGAATAGCAGAAGATATTTGCAAATGTCTTATCAGAAAAAGGGCTAATATCCAAAATCTAAAAAGAACTTATCAAACTCAACATTCAAAAAAAAAAAAAATCCAGTCCAGAAATGGCCAGCAGACTTGCCCAGACAATTCTCCAAAGAAGACATGCAAATGGCCAACAGACACATGAAAAAAACCATGTGCTCAACATCACAGTATCAGGGAAATACAGATCAAAACCACAGTGAGATACCACCTCACACCAGTTAGAATGGCCAAAATTAACAAGTCAGGAAACGACAGATGCTGGCAAGGATGTGGAGAAAGGGGAACCTTCCTACACTGTTGGTGGGAATGCAAGCTGGTGCAGCCACTCTGGAAAACAGTGTGGAGGTTCCTCAAAAAGTCAAAAACAGAGCTACCCTACGACCCAGCAATTGCACTACTAGGTATTTATCCAAAAGATAAAAACATAATGATCCAAAGGGGCACGTGCCCCCCAGTGTTTATAGCAGCAATGTCCACAATAGCCAAACTATGGAAAGAGCCCAGATGTCCATGGAGAGATGGATGGATAAAGAAGATGTGGTATATATATTCAATGGAATACTATGCAGCCATCAAAGGAAATGAAACCTTGCCATTTGCAACATTATGGATGGAACTAGAGGATATTAGGCTAAGCAAAATAAGTCACAGAAAGACAAATACCACATGATTTCACTCATATGTGGAATTTAAGAAACAAAACAGGTGAACATAGGGGAAGGGAAGGAAAAATAAAATAAGATGAAATCAGAGAGGGAGACAAACCATGAGAGACTCTTAATCATAGGAAACAAACTGAGGGTTGCTGCGGGGGGTGGGGGCTGGGTAACCGGGTGATGGGCATTAAGGAAGGCACGTGATGGAATGAGCCCTGGGTGTTCTTTGCAACCGACAAATCACTAAACTCTACTTCTGAAACTAATAATAATACATTATATGGTAATTAAATTGAATTTAAATAAAATTTTTTTTTTTAAATCTCAGTATGTTTGATAGGGAAACATTTATGAGAGAAAATGAGTTGGGAGCCCCATCAGTCTGGGAGGGGCAAGGTCAGTCTGATGGAGGTCTGACCCCCAATCCAGGGGATCAGGGAGTGTCTGGGACTGTGGTGTGGTTCTAAGGGAGCCTGGTCAGGCCACGGGGCCTCCCGGACCAGTCACCCATCAGAGGAGCTTGCCTTGATGTTTCTGCTTGGTCCCTGGAGGTAGCAGCTGAGAGGCCCTGGGTCAAGCCCACCCCTGCCAGTAGACCTGAGAGACAGATTCTCACGGCCCCACACACCATGACATGGACCTTGCGTTTTCTCATTTTATACTAAAAAACAACAATGAAAAAAAAATTGGGGAGCTAGTTACTATAAATGACCCCGTTTTACAAATGAGAAAACCAAGTCCTGGGTTCCCGGGCGCTAATGCAGCTTGTCTGAGCTCACACAGCTGGAAATGGCCAAGTGGGAAAGAGAAGGAAGTTACGCCATCCGACAGCTCTGCGGGGGCACAGTCAGCTCCGTGGCTCCCTGCTTCCGACCTCAGGGCCACTAGCTGGCTGCCCACAGTCACAGGAGAAGGAGGCAGGGGCTATGGTGAGAACCCAGCCCCGCTGACCTCCAAGGCCTGGCTCTTGACATCATGCCAGTGTCTTGCCAAGGTTCTGTCCACTTGTACTTTCTTTGTCTCACCCCTGGAAACTGGCTTTTGTGTCCATGACAGAAACTGTGCCAGTTGGAGCCGGAGGGGCGTGTGAAGGTGGATCTTGTGCTGCGGGCGGCTGAGACCCTCCTGGCGTGCTGCCATGAGGACCAGAAGCCCCCAATCCTGGCCCAGCTGAAGGACATCAAAGCCCAGTGGGAGGAGACGGTCACCTACATGATTCACTGTCACAGGTAGGGTGGCTGGGGACCCTGCTGGGGACCCTCCTTGTCCACTACTGCACTGTCCTGGGGTCCTCTGCCCAGGGGACATTTCTCCAGTCCTGGGATTGCTGGGAACAGGGCGTTCTCTGGGGATTTTGGCCAGCGCTGCCTACCTCTTTCTAATTATAATCAAGCTTAATGATGATAATAGACAGCAGAGCCGGTCGTGTTTCGCCAACAGTTAGTTCTTAGCAGACTTGCAGAGTGTTCGTCCTTCAGCAGAGTGGCAGAGTGAAAATTAACTTGATAGCAATTTAGCCTAGATTGTCCGCCTAGACCTGGGAGCCAATGAGGGATGAGGGATTAGACAGACCTGAGATTGCCCCTTGTTCTGCTGGTGACTTGCTGTGTGGTCTTGGGAAAGTTACTTGACCTCTCTGAGCACCAGGCTCCTCCCCTGGATAAGGGTATAATCAAGTGATCCTTGAAGGTGGTTGAGAAGAGGGAAAAGGGTAACAAAGGTCAAGGGCAAGGCACGGTAGGCCCCCGGTACATGGGAGCTAACAGCGTCCCCTCCATCTTTATGAAACCAGACGTGAGTGGCTGGGGTGACTTGGCCCGGTGCTGTCGGCTTTGCAAGCCCCTTCACTTAGAATTCCAAAGTAGTTCGATGTTGGATAGATGCTGGATAGATGAGACCATATCCATGTTACAGATGGGGAAACTGAGGCGGGTGAGGAGTCAGGGAGAGGCAGCCAGTTCGTGGCCCCTCTGAACCCACATGCAGGCCCCCAGTGCGCTGCCTCCCCGGAGCCGGGGACAAGCCCCCAGATACTCCTCCACTCTGGACGGTATTGGATATGGCAGTTCACAGCCTCACACCGCTCTGTCCGCAGCCGCATCGAGTGGGTGTGGCTCCACTGGAGTGAGTACCTGCTGGCTCGCGATGAGTTCTACCGCTGGTTCCAGAAGATGACGGTGGCGCTGGAGGCCCCCGCGGAGCTGCAGGTGGGCCTGAAGGAGAAGCAGTGGCAGCTGAGCCATGCCCAGGTGCTGCTGCACAACGTGGGCAACCAGGCCGTGCTCCTGGACCGGCTGCTGGAGGAGGCGGGCTCCCTGTTCAGCAGGATCGGGGACCCCAGCGTGGACGAAGATGCCCAGAAGAGGATGAAGGCCGAGTACGGTGCGGTGAAGGCCAAAGCCCAGGTGTGTGAGGTGTGGCGGGCTCCAGCTTCACCCCTGCGTCATTCACCCCTGCCCTTTACCCACACAGCTAAGCACTCGCTCCGCTCCCTGCACGTCCGCCCCCCCCCATCCTGGACGTCCCCTCATGTACTCACTGTCTGCGGTGCAGCCCCCCAACACCCACTCATCCGCTGGCCCCCGCCCTGCAGCGACCTGCCCCTGCTCCTACCCACTCCCTGTCTGTCTTTTCCCTCACTAAACTACCTGATCTGCTGTTGGCTCTCCTGCCCCCCACGCCCCTGTGCACGGACTGACCGCCAGTGATGCTGCCCTCTGCCCACCTTCTCTCCTTTCCCCCATCCCCCCTCCCTTCTGCCACCCTCCAGCCCTCCCTCCTCTGCTCTCCCGACCTTCCCTCTCAATCCTTCTGCCCATTCTTTGTCCCCATCCCCACACATCGTTATATCCTTGCCCTCTTTTTAGTACAGATTTGATTGATTGATTGATTGATTGAGAGCATGCAAGCATGCTCTTGGGGCAGAGGGAGAGAAAGAGAATGTCAAGCAGACACCCCGCCGAGCAGGGTCCAATGGGCCCATATATTCTTGATTTTTATTTATTTTATTTATTTATTTATTTATTTTATTTATTTTATTCTTGATTTTTAACCAGTCCATTGAATTACCAATTTCAATTAGTATTTTTAAAAGAAATTGTAATTTTGTTTTATGATCTCCACTGTTCTTTCTGTCATTGTGTAAATGTTGCCCTCCTTCCGGATCCGGGCTCTATCTGTCAGCGTTCTCAGTACATACAGTTTGCAGTCGCCATCACACTGTTCAGGTAGCTGAGGTTCCAGAGCCTGACGCTGCTGTCCGTTGGGTCTCCTGAGAGGGCAGATCATTTCCTTGGGGACTTCATAGTTTTGAGCTGTGAGCTCGGCTCCCCCGGGAATTCACCTGCGTGATTCCTCTGTTCATGTCAGTGTGTTCACTGGGGAGTTCCTGTTTCCAAACTTGAACCCCAAGCCAAAATTATGCGAGAGGCTCCTGGCTCCATACTCTGAAAGGTGATTGTTTTTTGTTTGTTTGTTTTCTATTTGTTTGGTTTTATTTTTATCCCAGAGCCCAAGAGGAAACCCAGACTTCTTTCTTGTATTTTGCGTATGGGGAGATTTTTCTGGTTCACCCTTAAGGGTTCTGACATTTGGCATTTGCCTCCACCTCCTCTGGGCCCAAAGTCCTACTTCCTCTTCCAGCCTTTGCACTAACCTCAAGCTGCCATATTGCTGGGTTCTTTCTGATCACAATTTAAGGACAGCAGTCCTATAACGGACAGGAATTCTGGAAAACCGTAGCAAGAACAGGACTCCCGGCCCCGAATACTTGGGAAGGGACCTGGGTTCCCTCCAGGCTCTGCTGCTTCCCAGCTGCGTGGCTCGGGGCAGCTCACCCTACAAGCAGCGGGGCTGAGAACTGAAGGAGTTACAAGTGAGCCCTTTGCAAACAGGCAGGCGGCCTCCCAGCAGGAAGGACACCTCTGCTCTGCTTGCAATAGCAGTGGGAGTAAATAGCTACCACGACCACTACCACAATGCAGCCTGGGACACAGCGGGTGCCAGGAGCTGTTTACAGAGTGAACGAGAGCCCTGCCCTTCAGCCTGGAGGCACACAATTCCCAAGGCCCCTGAGGGAAGGGACAGGAGGTGGTGGGGCAGCTGTGCCGGGGACAGAATGGACGGGCGGGCCAGGCAGGCAGGGAGCCTGGTTCTCATATGTGAGGCCAGTTGGCCCTCCCCAGGTCCCCGAGCAGCAAGGGCAGTGACTCTCCAGGTCTGCCCCTGGGGCCCCGGCAGAGAAGGCACCAGCCCCCGGGGCCTCCTCGTTGTGACTTTACAGGAAACAGGTGCTGCTGTCAATCAGCAGACAGCCTCCGCAGCAGACAGAGGACAGGAAATGGAACGTCGTTAGGCGTGGGGGTGTGTGTTTTGTGTGTGTATGCATGTGTGCGTGTGTGTGGAGGGGGTGTGCCAGGGACCCCGGGTGAGCACCAGTCCACGTGTGGAAATGATCACCTCAGAGATCCTCATGGTCACTCCGGGGGCCCTCCCCATCACTGGATCCGAAAGATCATAGAAAGCACGATTCTTCTTGGGGATGTCTGTCTTTTCTAAGTCTCTTCATGTCTTTGGCCTCCCCGGGTCCTTCCAGCCTTCTCTGTTGTAGATAGAGCAGGTTTGCCTAGGCCTGTTGTGCAGACTTAAAAAAAAAAACACCCAAGTGGCAGTCCCCACTGTCCCTCTAGAAAGACCCAGAAGGTTCTAGGTGGCGCTCCAGCTAGGCTCTACTCCCAGCGGTGCCTCGGGTCCTTGCCCTGCACCCTTCAGGGTCACTCGGAGAAAGTGGCAGGCAACAGCGAGTGGGAGATCCGGAGCCCCTGAGGAGGGAGCACCGTGCTTCCCGCGGTGTCTGGGAGGCAGGGAGCAGCTATCACGGTCTTTCGAGCAGAAGCTTGGGGGCTCCCATGTTGGCAGGGTGACCTGGTCCTGCGTGGAGAAGTGAATTCAGCTTGGCTTCCGGCTGCTGGCTGAAGCTCGTGGACGCTGGGTTTTCGCTTCCCGGCCACCAGAGCCTTGGGAGCTCTGTTCCCACTCACAGGGAGCCCTGTCAGCCCGTGGCCATGGGCGGGAGCAGCTGCCTGTCTCCCCCAGAGCGGGCCGCAGCGGACCAGAGGTGCTGGCTGGGGAGGGCCAGGGTGGGCTCCGCGAGCCGTCCGAAGTTCTCTGCAGACTTGCGTGAGTGCATTTGCCTGGGGCAGGAGCCGTAGCTTCTTCCAGATTCCAGAGGGGGCCTGACCTCCCGAACACTGAGTATTTTTTTTTTTAAAGATTTTATTTATTTATTTGCCATAGAGAGACACAACGAGAGAGGGAACACAAGCAGGGGGAGTAGGAGAGGGAGAAGCAGGCTCCCCACTGAGCAGAGAGCCTGATGTGCAACTTGATCCCAGGACCCCGGGTCCTGACCTGAGCTGAAGGCAGATGCTTAATGACTGAGCCACTCAGGCACCCCAAGACTCAGAATTTAGTGAGCAAATCCAACTTTGGTGCTGTCCTTAGAGATTTAACTTCCAAGCCCAAGGTCCTCATTAGTGAAATGAGACAGAGCCCCCGCCACACAGACACCAACCCCCAGGGCACACCCCAGCCTTGCAGTCCTAGACCACAGGAACATTCCGGAACTCTGTGCTAAGCAAGGCGGGCAACACTCCATGTCCGGGGGCCCCTGAGGATCCATTGTGGTCCAGATGCCTCCTGTGCACCTGCCGTGGATGTTGGAAAAAGGCTTCTCCTTGCATGAAAGGATCTCCCAAGGCAGATAAGAAAGCCGTCCCAAGGCGGGCCACTGAAACGCCCCTAACCCAGGGACAGGACGAGGCCAGGTCAGAATGCCCAGGGCTCCAGGCCTGTGCTCAGGGTGGGCCTCCGCAGCATCATCCTCGTCCGCTCGGGCTGCCGTCACACAACACCACGGCACAGATGTATTTCTCACAGTTTTATAGGCTGTGAAGTCCAGCATCAAGGCACTGGCAGGTTTGGCTCCTGGTAAGGGGCCTTTCCTTGGCCTGTCGATGGCTGCCTTCTTGCTCTCATGGCAGAGAGGGGGACAGTAAGCTCTCTGCTGTCCCTTCTTCTAAGGGCACCCATCCCATCCTGGAGGCCCCATCCTCATGGCCTCAAGTGACCCTAATCTCAACGGCCCCGCCCCCAAATACCAACATGTTCCAGGATTCGGCTGCAACCCGTGAATCGGGGGTCACAGCTCCAGCTGTAGCAGACATTATTGCGTTAACACCTGCCTTTCCCCAGTGAAGAGGCCATTTCGACTTTTCTCAAGCTAGTCAGCCGCCGGTTGCTTTCACTCTCTGAAAACCCGTGTTTGACTTCCGATGCGTTCACTAGCAAAGCCGCCGGTATTGAGGAGGACAGGAGGACAGAGGCCCTGTGGGGGCCACTCTGGGCTGTGGCCTTTGCGGCCACCCTGGAGGGAGACCCCGGGACTCCATTCACTGGCCAAGCCCTGAGGTGAGCAGTGTGGCGCACTGCCAACCCCAGCCCTCGGGAGTCAAGAAGAGAGCAGGCTGGTTGCCAGCGGGGTCCTGCTAGTTTACTACGAGGTGTTTTTTTTAAACCACCCATTATGTTTTGTGAAAGGGCCAGGCACCCAGCAGCGTCCTCCTCCCCCGGCTTCCCCAGGCGGCTCTCGAAGGGGGCGTGTCCGTCTGGCATCTGGGCCGTGAATCAGAGCCGTTGGCACAGACCTACAGACATCAGTCCACGCTGCCCTTGTTAATTGGTTGGGTTTTGACATTCTTGACAGCTCCGCCCGCCACAGATGGTTTAATTGTTTGGTCTGATGCGGGAAGGCTAGGGAGGCCCCCATTTGTCACCCCTGTCATCCAGCAACGGTGCCTGCCCGGCCGTGGCTGAATTGTGCCCTGTGACCATTCTGCCTGGCACAGAGCAAGTCTGGACGCCTGCCCTTCTCGACCGCGCTGGGCTCTGAGCACCTGCTCAGTATCACGGAGACTTTTATTGACTCTGCCTTCCCCGAGCGTTGGCCAGCACCTCATTGCTCACCCGCAGGGCAGCCGGCCAGCACGTTCGGGGGAAGGGGGGGGGGACACTTGTCACCGTCAGCATCAACCTGCATTGATTCTCTGTTTGTTATTCCTGACCCAGTTTCAGAAGTGAGGCTTTCCTGCGGACGGGGTAGCTCTTGGAGGGTTTTGACGGAGGCACACAATCCCGCGGGAAGAGGGAGCCAGCAGGGGAGGTGTGGAGCGGGTCATGGTCTCTTGGTCCACATTTGGAATTCGGGCGCCCATTGGGCACTGCTGGTGGTGCACCAAGCCTCGGTTCGTTACTGGGAGGCTCCCGGCTCTTCACTGAGGGCCTTGGTCCCGTGCCTTGGTTTCCCCATCTCCAAAATGGGGATAGCTCCTCCTCCCTGTCCTGGTTGTAGCAAAGGTCTAAATGAATTGCTATTCCTATTCCCAGGTTTGGTGAGGACTTTCTCAAAGGGCGGGGAAGTTTTTTGAATCCACGGGTCTGTCCACACTTGCCATTTGGGAACTTCTGACTTTGTTTCGGAGAAGGTCAGGGCCCTCCTGGACACTGCGTGCTCCCTGGCCAAGGAGGAGCTGAGGCCAGCAAACGAGGGCCTGTGGGCCCAGTCCGCCCCATCTCCTGATTTTGTACGGCCTGCGAGTTGAAAATGGCTTTTACCCGCTTAAAGGGAGGAAGACAAAAAACAGAATCTTTCAGGACATGTGAAAATAATACAAAATTCATATCCCAGCGTCCACATTTGAGTTTTATTGGAATACAAGCTTGCTGGACGGGTGTGTCTCTGGCGGCTTGTGAGCCATAGCCTGGCGCTTCCATAACTGCCCTACCAGATGCCACGGGGCGGACAGGCCAGAAAACATCCAGCTTCTACTCTGCCCGCCTCCGGATTGCAGCCGGGATTTTGGAGTCAGGCACTGGCCGTTTAAATCTTGTCTAGAAGGCCCTTCTAGAGTTACGTGACCTCCCAGCATCAGCCTGGACGTCTGCAGAATGGGCGGGCTGCGCTCCGTTGGGAAGATAAGATGCCGCGTGTCCCGTTCCAGGAACTTAGCGGGCGCTCATGAGAAGGAAGTCCCCTCTTTGGCTCTTCTTGGCTCTCCTTGAAAACATTCCTCTGCTGGCCATACTCTGTGTTGATTTCTTCCTGCCGTTAGGGAAGTGTTCATTCTCAGAGCCACCCTGCGCCGGGCCTGGAGAGGAAGTCAGCCCGGGGCAGCCTGGTGTGTAAGGAGCCCTTGGCTCGCCGAGAAGGTGACAAGGGTGGACAAGGCCAGGAGGGAAGCACAGGACAGAGGGAAGGCCGCTCATTCAGCTTGGGGGTGGCCGGCCAAGGCAGAGAGGAGGTGGGGCCTGGAGGTCAGCGTATCCAGACGGAGCTGCTCTCTTGCCCACTCCCGCTCCGCTGGGTGTGACAAGAGCACAGGGGACAGCAAGTGACAGGAGTCAAAGGCTCATGGGCATTAGGGGCTGACTAGCCACCCAGTGTGGTTCTGGGGTTCTGTGAGCTCTGACCCATTTAATCCCACTGCACTCCAATGAGGCAGGGACTGTTACTAACCACATGTATAGATAGGGAGACTGAGGCAGGAGGGAAGCCAGGGTTTAGGTCATGGACAGGGGGCTCCTGAGCGCAGGATGTTGACCTCAGAGCTACAGCCACATCGTGGGGTCCTGCCCTTGACCTGTAGGCTATGGCCATGAAATCTGGGCCTATGGGCAATGGGGAGCCATGGAAGGCTTTAGAGAAATGGGGCTGTGATCAGGGGTGTGTTTGAGAAACAGAGTCCCTGGGCCCACAGGTCTTACAGCAGGGACACTGCTATTTCCCAGATGACAGCCGCCCTCAGGACACCATCTTGTCCCCGTGTGGTTAGAACAAGAGTGGGATTGTCTGCAAAGTGAGGTAACCGCAGCCCATGCCATGCCGGCAACATCATTGTACCCGGGAGGAACTGGGGGGAGCCTCTGTTTATTAGCATGCCTGCAGACACTGCTGGCCCCGTCTTGCCTTCTGGGTTTGAACCTTGGTGCTTTCCTACCCAGGTGACCTTGGGCATGCGCTTTCTGAGGCGCCTCTCTGTGCCTCAGTTTCCCCATCTGTCCAACCAAGATAATAATAATAGTGTCAGCTGCTGGGGTGGTCAGGAGAGCTCAAGGAGATGATAATACCCATGAAAGTTCCTCAAGCAGTCCCGGCACCTCAGTGAGTGCTCCCATGATGGTTTTGTGTAGTAAGAGTTGTTACAGCGTGCCTGTCTTGAGGGCCACCCCCAGGACATGGCAAGACAAAAAAGCCAGCTGTAGAGTTGACAGGCCCAGTGAGGACGCGCTTTGACCAAGAGTCTCTTCGTTGCTAATAAGGTAGAGGAGAGCATCTGGGACCTCTTTGCCTTCAGCAGAAGGACAGAAGGTTGGCTGTATCTCACACCCCCTAAACACACACACACACACACACACACACACACACACACACAGAAGCAGGCAGACAGGCCTTGAAGGCCATGGGCAGCCTGCCCAGGGGACCTCTGTAGGGGGTGACTCTCCTCCCCTCCCGCAGGACAGAGTGGATCTGCTGGAGCAGATGACCCGGGAGCATGAGCGTTTCCAGGCAGATGTGGACGAGTTCCAGCTGTGGCTGAAGGCGGTGATGGATAAGGTGAGCAGCTGTGTGGGACGCAGCTGCAAACTGTCCACCCAGCACCGGCTCTCCATGCTGCAGGTAAACTGGGCTGTGTCTCCATCGGAGGGGCCACGGAAGAAATGCTCCAGTACGGGGGTTCTGTCTGGGTTGTCATGTCTTTAATAGGATGCCCTAGGGGCCACAGGAGATACAAAACCCAGGGCATGCAGACCCCCACATGGGGAGGAGCATGGAGGCTAGTGGAATATGTTTGGGGGCTCAGCTGCTTTCTGGAGATCTCTGAGCCAGCAGGGCATTTGGAAACCCGAGGCCAGGGCAGCGTGGTCTCTGGACCAGTGGGTCTCAAATAGGGGACATCCCAGCGATGTCTGGAGATGGTGCTTAGGGCTGGGGGTAGAGATGCTATTGGTCTGGAGGGTGGAGGCCAGAGATGTTGTGATACATCTTGTGATACACACTGCAGCCCCCACAAGGGAGTGACCCCCCGCAGGTGTCAGAATGCCATGGTAAGGAATCCTGGCATAGGCGTCAGACCTGTGGTGGCGAGAGACCTGGTCTGTTCTGGCCTTCCTGAATGGCCGTGACCTTGAATGAGCTTCTGACGTCCTCTGTAAATGGAGTGTTGGATCACCGTCAGAAATTCAAGGATCGCATTATAAGTTTTGCCACAGATATCCAGCACCTATACCATTTATTTCATATTTGTACTTAAGGTGACTCTTAAAAAAAACACACACACACACAATGAAAATGACTCCAAAAAAATGTTACATGACTAGTATGAGAATATTTGCCAGACCTTATTTATAATAGTCCCAAACTGAAAGCAACTCAGATTTTAGTCAGCAGAGTATTAGATGTTGTGGAAGAGGATATATATATATATCACAATTTAAAAAAAGAGGTACTCCTATATACAACATGGAAGAATCTAGAGGGTATTTTACTAAAAGAAGCCAGTTTCCAAAGCTGATATAGTCTGTGACTTCAGATATGTGAAGTTCTAGAAGCTCTGGGGATATTAGAAGTTTTGGGAACAGTGTGGACCACATGGGCATGAGTGTTTCTCAAAACCATCTGAACAGTCCTGCTTAAGATCTGGACACTTGACCCCATGCAATAACACTTCGATAAAAAAAGTAACATATTTGGAAGGCACTGTCAAACAAAAGAGATTGAAAGGTGTTTCTATAAATTTGTTTTTCATTAAAAGTGAATGAACATTGTATTTGAAGGGAAAATGGAGGTCATTGTCGTGAATGGAAGGCCAGCACTCGCTCATAATTAGTAGATAACCACGCAAATGAATATAATGAAATCAAACAGGTCACTAGGCTCTGTTCGCCCTCCTACTTCTGAGGCTTCCTCTGTCCTCGTTAAAAACGACGATCAACAAACACCAGAGAGGGTTAAAGACAAACACCCAACAGAGATTTTCTCCTGGACTTAATCAAATGGGTATAAAAGGCAAGGGAAGGGAACCCTATCGTCGCATTGCGAGTCAACCCCATTAAGGCAGACAGCGCACTCCTTGGAAAGGCGCCCTGGACCCTAACCTGGGAGTTAACCTAACCAGGGATGGGCGTTTAACGTGACATTCCCAGGGGCTCTGGGAAATGTGGCAGATTCTCTCTTTCCCCGCTCACGTGTTTCTCCGCCCGACCCTGCCCCCTCCCGCCCCCCCCTGTAGGACATCGCTGATGAGTTTCCGAGGGCTGAGACGTCCTTGAGGCAGCTGGAGGAGCAGGCTGCGGGTGTCATCCAGAACACGTCCCCTCTGGGTGCAGACAGGATCGCCGAGGAGCTGGAGGACATGCGCAGGGTTCTGGAGAAGCTGCGAGTCCTCTGTGGGGAGGAGGAGGGCCGGCTGCAAGGCCTGCTCAGGTCCATGGGAGCCTGTGAGCAGCAGCGGCAGCAGCTGGAGGCCGAGCTGGGAGAGTTCCGGAAGGACCTCCAGAGGCTGGCCGAGGAGGGCCTGGAGCCCACCACAAAGGCAGGAACCGAGGACGACCTGGTGGCCCGCTGGAGACGCTACTCGGTAAGCAGAATTTGGCGAAGATACAGACCATCCAGGGGCTGTGTGTGCCTCGGGGCATCACCTTGGGGCATCACCACGTGGAGCTCCCTTGCCTGGTGGGGAGAATCAAGCTAAGCCTTAAGCACACTGACTCTGATTTCCCTGGGTCTTCGGGAACCTGGATTCCCTGGGTGTTAATACACAAGTTGGGTGTTCGTACCCATTTTCCAGATGAGGAAACTGAGGCCCAGAGAGATTTCACCTCTCCAGCCCCGACCTCCCCAGGATCACACGATGACCCAGAGGTGGATTGGCTTTGAGTTTGCCATTCCTTTGCCCAGTGGTGGGATGTGGGATGGACTTCCTGAGCCCAGAGCAGGGAGAGTTAGTTCAGAGGGAGCGTGCTTCAGTGTAGAGATGCTAGGGTTCTGGGGAGACCCCGCAGACAGTGCCCATCCCGGGAGGGTGGGCTGGCTTCCCACCCAGACAAGAGTATGCAGTCAGAGTGCATCCGCCTTCCTCCTACCCGTGTGCGCACTCAGCGGGTCTGACTTCCGCCCAGAGAGATTTTTAAAGGATTCCCACCTCCCCCACTCCTGTCTTCACTTACTCACTCACCGGGTCAGCTCCGCGCTAGTGCCATGACAGGAAACATCTAACAGAAAAGCTGCCCACATCCCACCTCCAGTCACTTGGTTTCTTTCTCTTCCTCTCGCCCATATTCAGACACATTTTTGTGTGGGTAGAAACAAGGCACATAGGCCTTAAGGCTCGCCGAGCCTCACAGCAGACCAGCTTCCACTGCGGCGACCAGCTCTGTCTGGAGGGAACGGCTTCCTCTTTAGGACCGTCTGCCTGGCACAGGCGGAGGTGGCGGGTACAGGGGTCAAGGGCGTGGGCTTTCGGGTCAGACTGCTAGGGCACAGGTCCTGCCTTCTCTCCTTGCTAACCTCGTGGTCTTGGGAGAAGTGCTTTAACCTCAGTTGTATGCAGAACAGAAATGACCAGATGAAAACTTAAAAAGTGCTTAGCATTAACATGCCAAAGCCGGTGCTCAAGGAGGACCAGCTCGGGAGGAAAGCCCTAGAAAGCCCTGCCACTATCCCATCATGACAGCTCCTTGCCTGCACCCGGCTGTGTGTCCAGAAGCCTGTCCCGAGGCAGGAGCCTGACCACCTCCCTACAAACTCTCTGCGCCACCTGGTTCCAATGTCTTCTCAATTACAATCAAGTTGTCAAGTTGTGATTCACCGGAATCAATGAAAAAAGGAAGTTTGGAATTTATGACTCAAGACTTCTGCTCTTGAGTGAGCACTCACACAGATATTGTTTGCACTTATCTGTGTTCTGTAGGAAGGAGCAGGCACACACACCTGACCTGCTCCAAGCCAGCCATCGGAGTCGGGGGGCGGGGGGGGGGGGGGGGCCACGGAACCCACCAGGTTTGGCCGGGAGCCGGCTTGGCCCCGCAGAGAACGTGAAAGGTAGAGGACGCTCGCCGCACCTTGCACCAAGAAGGAAATGAGAAACAGGCAAACTTCAGAGAAGCAGGTGGTGTCAGGCCCCAGGTGAAAGGGCGATGTGCTCATCTTCAAACCGACGCGGTATAGTCATTGCTTACCCGGCATGCTGAGTACTGGACAGACCTCTTCAGGGGGCACTGCCGTGATCCCCTTTTATAGATGGGGAAACTGAGGCATAAAGGAGTTGAAGTCTGGCCTGTGGTTATGCACTCTACAGGTGGAGGCAGGGATTTGAACTTGAACCTAGACAGTCGGAATCCAGAGCACATGCTTTTAACCCTCAACTCCCAGTTTTAGGAAATTAGCATAGTGAGAGACAAGGACCAGGAACGAGGACACTGGAGCTCAGACAGGCTGAGACCTCCTGGTCTCTCTGCTGGCAGTCCCAAGACCCGTCCCCACGGAGAACAGGGGCCGGGAGTGGTCTGTGGCATCCCCAGGAGGACCGGGCGGGACCATTCATCCACTTCAGGGAGACTTTTAGCGGCTGAGGTTGAAGTCAGAGCGGGTTTTGTGTCTAACCCAGCCTTGACCACAGCTGCTTCACACGGCCCCCCTCGTGGGCATCCCAACAATCCAGCCACTAAAGATGCCCACCTCATGGGTGCAGAAAGGGCATGGCAGGGCTGGAAGAGCCCCCCCGCCCCCTTATTTCACAAGGAGGGCAGCTCTGTCTAATGAGGAACGTGGCTGAGCCAGACCAGCGTGTGGGCCGGCAGCCTTGCACCGTGGGTCCTTGCTGGCCTGTCCCTGGCCACTTGACGTTTCTGTGACCTGCTCGGCCCCACATTGACTCTTGACCGTCGTGGGGTCTGGATGGGCCTTTCTCCCAAGGCGCCCACAGTTTTGTTTTGTTTTTTTAAGATTTTATTTATTTATTTGACAGAGATCATGAGTAGGCAGAGAGGCAGGCAGAGAGAGAGATGGGGAAGCAGGCTTGCTGCAGGGAGCCTGATGCGGGGCTCGATTCCAGGACCCTAGGATCATGACCTGAGCCGAAGGCAGAGGCTTTAACCCACTGAGCCACCGAGGCGCCCCCTGCCCACAGTTCTGCTCCTCACCGCAGACCCCCGCCCGGTGTCGGCCAAGGCCCTCTTGTCCGCAGGCTGGCCAGCCTTCCAGGGAGCTGATGTGCAGGGCTTCCTCGTGACTGGCTTGGAAACTGCGAGTTCACACATACCAGTTGTGTCTTCCTCTTCTATGAAAACACGCACAGATTTCATTACATTTGCTTCATAACTGAATACAGACAAGAATAATTTGGAGCATGAGTAAGTCTGCGCAGGCGGATTCCATAGCCCACTGCCTGCACGGCGCTCCCTCCTGCCCCCGGCTGCCGCCTCCCATCGCTCCAGCTGACCTTGCTCCCTTGAGCTCCCCGCAGGTCCCAGTTCACTTGTGGTTCACCCAAGACTGAGGCTGCCTAGAGCTGCTGTGGTCCCTGTGAGTGAACAATCTGGACCAAGGCTCAGGCTTGCATGTGGGGCAGCTGGAGAGTGGCACGGCTAGGCTCCTGCCCTGTACCCAGTGCCTGGTCAAGGGGGTGGCCCCATTTTAGCAGTGAGGGAACAGCCCGAGGTTGCCCAGCAGGAAGGGGCCGAGGGGGTTTCCCAGACAGCCTGTACCATGCCAAAGCCCAGCACTTTCCACTACCCCATCTCTCCTCCTACTGAGCACGGGCCCAGCAAGCATCAAGGTCAAGGTCAGTCTGCCAGTAATGAACCAGATCCACAAAGCACCTCACACTGTTGTTTTCCTCTAATGCTGCAGAGTCTCAGAGCCGGAGGGGCCCAGCTCCCACGTCAGGTCCACGGCTTACTGGCCCCACGACCAGCAGAAAACTCTTAGCCAGAGCTTCCCTTGGCTGTTCAGTGGGGATCCAGAGAATTACTTCCCAGGGCCTTTGCCCAGCTTCAGTGAATGGGGCACCCAGAGCACTCGGCGGGTGCAGCGTTCCCAAGATATTCGTTATTGGTGTTATTAGGTGTGGGTCCTCACGACACTACTGAGGTCTGGGATGATAGAGACAAAAACCAGCTTGGTGAGAGCAAATGCCAAAATCAGGGCCCAGAGCCGAGAGCAAAGGCTGAGCTTCTGGAGACCCCAGTCCTTACCCTGGGTGACGGGCTTCTCCCACCCGCCGCACTCTTCCCCCATCGCTGACTCTCCCGCGTCCCTCTGGTTTGGTCTGTGTGCCGCAGGCGACACGGATGGCCCTCGCGGCCGAAGAGCCCCGGGTGGCCCGGCTGCAGGCCCAGCTGAAGGAGCTCATCGCCCTCTCCTGTGAGTCGCAGCCGCTTTCCGACAGCGTGGTCGCTGCCCTCCAGGAGTTCCAGAGGTATCCGCACCGAGGGAGGCGGGACTCAGGGTGTGCCTTGAACCCCACGTGCAAGGGGGGCTTCTGACTGCCTCAAAGGCCATCGCCGGGAAACGTGTTTGCTTTCTCTTACAATCTGGGAACTCTAACATAATTCTGGTGCCCCTCAATCCCTGGGATTTTGCTCCCAGAAGGACTGGACTTGGCTTTGTTCCAGGAGGCATGGCTCATTCACCGATTTCCATCCGGTCTCCGTGTAGCTTCGCCCTGGGGAGGCGTCCCCCAAGTCATGGCCTAAAGGGAGGGCTTTTGGGTAGACAAGCACCATCCCCCTGCCTGCAGACGGTGCTGACTCAGCATCTGAGCCTGTCTTCAGACCAGCCTCTACCTCCCCCTCGGTCCATGGGCTCAGGCCGAGCTGGGGCTCCAGGGTCCTGGCTCAGCAAAGACCAGCAGATCAGAGCACGCCCCACGCTGGAGCCGAGCACAGTGCCAGTTTGCAGCCTGTAGCTCTTTTCGCTCCAGGAGCCTCAGAGCAGTTGTAAACACAGCACGCTGTCCACGTATCCACAGCACCTCTCCTCCCTCCACCTGACACACAGGTTCCTTCTGAATGAACTCGGGGGCTCCCCACTTGCTGTGCATCTGTACCTCGGAGCAGGGGCCCGGATCCCCTGCGGGAAGCTAAGGCCGTGGCAGGGCCGTGAACTTCCTTTGCACAGCTAGCCGAGGGACTCCCCTCCAGCTTCTCCTGCTGAGGCTTTATGTGCTGGCTCTCTGTGATTGGATGTCGTAGTTGAGAGATTATTTCTAGAAATTATTAGGGCCCAGGATGATGGTCTCTCAGGAAAGGATTTTGCTTTAGTTTCCTCAAGGTGCCTGGGGGTAGGCTGGACCAGGCCAGGGGCTCCATGGTTCCTCTTCAAGGCTTGAGGTTCTCGGGTCGTGAGGCTGGGCTGCAGGTCTGAGAACTGGCTTCCTTCCAGCGCACGTTAATCCAGCCGGTTAGACCCCCGAGTTCCCATAGCCACGCCCAGAAGGCTGCGGGAACAGCGTGCGCTGGGCTCCGCAGGAGTCCCGGTAGAGGCCTCAGTTCTGGACTGACCCCACTCTCTCCTCTTTCCGTGTCTCCCCTCTGTGGCCCTTGCAGCCTGAAGGGGCAGAGCGCCAAACTTCACAATGCCACGGGGCTGGAGCTGTGGCAGCGTTTCCAGCGGCCCCTACAGGATCTGCAGCTGTGGAGGGCCCTGGCGCAGAGGCTCCTGGACATCACTGCCAGCCTGCCAGACCTGCCCTCCATTCACACCTTCCTGCCCCAGATCGAGGTAAGCAGGTCCTGCCAGGAGGGCTGACCAGTGCAGGGGGGAGGAGGGAGGCCACACCCGCTAGGCACGACACCACAGCCCTACTTCCAGTGAAAGGCGTGATCCTGGGTGCTCCAGGAATCTGGGCAAAGTTCATCATACCCCTGCCTGGCAAGTTCTAAGTAGACACAGGAAATGTCATCAGCGACCAAGGTCATCCTCAGTTCTTGGGTAGAAGGCAAAGTCTGGTAGCTAGTGTGACCATAGGACTTTGCCTACCCTCCCACACCCCTTCCGTCCAGGATCCTCCTGCAGACAGTCCTCTGGGGGAAGCATGAGCAATTTTGAGGGAGGGCATGTGAGGCCATTACCTTTACTGCGTGGGTATCAGTTAGGAGGCATGTGACAAGTGACAGAAATTCTGACCAACGGTAGCTTAAAACCCAGAGACTTTCAGGTGGTTCAGGACTGGTTTGACAGATCAACAGTATCTTCTGGAACCCAGGCTCTTTCTAGCTCGAAGCCGCATCTCCCTTCATGGCCCCAAGATGGCTGCCACCACAGCAAGCTTGCATCTTCCCATGAACAACATCTTGTTCGGGAAGGAACAGTATGGGGGCAAAAAGGATTTCTCTATTCACCATTTTGAACAGGGAGGCAAACCCTCCTTCCAGAAGCCCCAGGGGATTCCTTACAGCTCAGTTGCCAGGTCACATGACTTTCCCTCGGCCAATCACTGGTTGAGAATGATGGGTTTGCCGGGACTGGTTTATACCAAGCAGACGGTTTGGTGTCAAACATGATTAAAGAAGACAATTGAGAGGAGACAAACCAACTTTGTTTAACACTTCATGAAGCGGACAGCCTCCTTTTGGAGAACTGCAAAATGGGGCAGACAGCAGGAAGGTTTAATAGGATAAAGAATGAAGGACAAGGAAAAGTCAGATAGAAAACCTCTGACTGGCTGACGGTGAGCCTTATTTGTGTTGAGAAAGCCGAGAGTTGGCTTGACATTTGGGGATTGCAGGCTAGATACACTGTGTTTCTGGTCAAGCTGAGCGTTTACGGGGAATCAGAACTTATCTGGAAGTTTCATTTTGTTGCCGTGGCATCCAGGGTAGAGGCAGACCCATCCTGACCCTAGAAACTCATTTCAGCACCCGTAACCGGGCACTTTGCCATCCGACACAGTGCTGGTTGTTGGGTGAGCAAGAAGGAGGGATGAGTGTTGGGCAAGCGGACCTGAGCATCTCCCACAAACGCCCATCAACATGGCAGCTCTGATTAGCCCATCAATGCTGCCCGATGGTACCCAGTGGAGGTCTGAAGTCCATGAAATACTTTCAACCATTTTAGTCTATAAAATACTAGGTCCAGGGATTCTAAGACACACTGCGTGGGAGGACACGCAAAAGAATGTCAGATATAAGCCTTGCTTTATATTCATTTTCATTCTGGTTATGAAAGTCATGCCTGCTTGGAGATGTGAAGATTTGTGAAGAAGGAAGCAGAAAGCGTCCACAATCCCATGCACCCTAGGACCACTCTTAACATGTGGAGGGACACAACATCACATTTTCTATCCAACCTGGTATTTCTAGGGGCCCTTCAACACACATAAAATTCACTTAGGGGAGGCCTGAGGATCTTACATGTGTTGGAAAAATCAATTTTAGGTCAGACAATCCCAAATAATACACTTTATATCTGTTGAAAATCCATCTAGTCATTTCTGTGCAATATGGTCGCCATTAGACAGAAGCCTTAAATAATTCATGACAATTTTTGTGTATTTGGGATCATGTTATATATTTGTGTATTCTGATATTTGTAGTTGGCCCATCTGAGCTTTTTTTGGGCATCATTTAAAATGGTTCGGGGAGACCCATGATAATTAGAGTGTCAAAACTTTAAAGAAAGAATCTTAAAAGCAGCAAGAGAAAAATAATGTGTTACGGATAAGGGAAACTTCATGAACTATAGGCAAATTTTTCAGCAGAAACTGGGCAGAGGGTCTGAATGGCATTTTTCCAAAGAAAACAACCAGATGGCCAACAGGCATATGAAAAGGTACTCAACATCACTCATCATCTGGGCAATGCATTTCACAACCACAGTGAGATAGCACCTGTCAGAATGGCGAGCATCAGATGACAAGGGATAACAAGCATCAATGAGGATGTCGAGGAAAGGGAACCCTCGAGCACTGTCAGTGGGAGTGCAAATTGGTGAAGCCATGGTGGAAAACAATATGAAAGTTCCTCAAAAAATTAAAAATAGAACTACCCTATGATTCAGCAATACCCACTTCTGGGTACTTATCTAAAGAAAACAAAAATACTACTTTGAAAAGATATCTGCATCTCCCTGTTCATGACATCATTATTTACAATAGCCAAGGCCTGAAAACAACTGAAGGGTCCCCTGATGGGCTAATGGATGAAAGCAGATGTGATAGATAGGTCCGAGCATACATAATGGAATGCTACTCAGCCATAAAAAAGAATGAAATCTTGCCACTGAAAGTAACATGGATGGATCTTGGGACATTACATTAAATGAAACAAGTCAAGCCAAGAGAGACAAATACCACACGATCCCATCTCTATGTGGAATCTCAAAAAAAAACAAAACAAAACTTGTAGATATAGAGACCAGAATGGTGGTGGCCAATGGGGCGGGGTGTTGGGAGTAGGCAAAATGGGTGAAGGGAGTTGAGGGGTACAAACTTGCAGTTACGGAATAAATAAGTCATGGGCTGTTAGGTCCAGCATGGTGACTATAGTCATTATTGTAGTGCATAGTGAAAGTTGCCAAAAGAGTAAATCTTAAAAGCTCTCATTGTCGGGGCGCCTGGGTGGCTCAGTGGGTTAAAGCCTCTGCCTTCTGCTCAGGTCATGATCCCAGAGTCCTGGGATCGAGTCCCCGCTTCAGGCTCTCTGCTCAGTAGGGAACCTGCTCCTCTTCCTCTCTCTGCCTGACTCTCTGCCTACTGTGATCTCTGTCTGCCAAATAAATAAATAAGTAAATAAAATCTTTAAAAAAAAAAAAAGCTCTCATTGTCGTAAGGAAAAAATAATCCTAACTTTCTATGGTGATGGATGGTGCTAGATTTCGTGTGGTGATCATTTTCACAGTGTACACAAATACCGAATCCCTATATTGTGCATCTGAAATATGTTATAGGTCTATTATACTTCAACTGAACAAATTTTAAGGAAAAAAGATAAAACGTTTCCAAAAAGTCATCACTTTAAATGGCTGCATGATATGCTTTTCCTTTCTTACAATATTTAGGTTGCTTCCAGTTTTCCTTCTCATCATTTGTATACGTTGAATATCCATGTACAGATTTTGGTCTCCATTTCCATCATTTTCCTCCTCATGTTGCTGTTGAGGGACCAGAACCAGAGAGAAGTTAGGGTGTTTGTTCAAGATCAGGCAGAGACACTCAATTTCAAGGTCACTCGAGAGGCAGAGCTGAGGCTAGAATGGTGGATTCTAGCCTCTTCTGTTCTTACTCCTGCCGTTACATTGGGTCCTGGGAAGATGTTTGCGAAGCAAGCAGGACAATTAAATCATTATCCTTTGACTGTTAAGGAAACTGTGTCCCAGAGAGGGGAAGGCTCTTACTCAAGGTCACACAGCAACAGTGTCAGGGCTGGCTTTGATTCAGCGACAGGTGCTTTTCCCACTGGATCCCGGTTGTGTTTCCATCCTGTCCATCTCACTGGGGCAGAAAGCTAACCAGGACCTATGCCAGGCTGGAGGGGGAGGTACTGTCTTTCTAGAATGTGACTCAGGACCGCCAGGCCAGGAGTTTCATAGAGCAGTATATTGGAAAATCGGGCGGGACTGTGGTTTGTCCGTGTTTAAATGCTGTTTGCTGGATGCGATCATGTCTTGGATTACGCTCACCAGCCTTTCCCAGGAAGCATGGGTTTCACGGGCCAGGTTCAGGCTGCCAGCCCTATATTTCTTGGCTCAGCTCCTACACTGAGCCTGAGTAGTCTATGGACCCACAAAGTTCTTCTGGAACCAAGACACCAGGCCCCAACATTGGACATGGCTGAAATACTTGTTTCCGGGGGTAACTGTAACAAGTCCCCAAACTTGGTGTATTAGAGCAGCAGAACCTCATTTTCTCATGGTTCTGGAGATAGCAAGGCCACGATCAGGCTGTCCAGGGGGTCATGCTGTCTCTGAAGCCTCTAGGGGAGAAGCCTTCCCTGATTCTTCTAGCACCTGGTGTTTGCTGGCGGTTGTTGGTGTCTGCTGGCTTGTAGACCCATTCTTCCAATCTTGGCCTCTGGGGTCATGTGGACAGCTTCTCCCCTTCTCTTCCATCTGCACATGTGTATCTGGGTCCAGATTTCCCCTTTTAGTAATGCACAGGTCACCCTGAATGAGGGTCCCCCTAATGACCTCATTTCAACTTGGTTACCTCAGTAAAGACCCTATCTCCAAATAAAGCAACATTCGGAGGTAGTTGGGGATGGTGGCTTCCATGACTTCTATCTTTCGGCGGGGGACGCAGCTCATCCCGGAAGAGCTGGTGTACTGACCCCAGCTGAGAAGGGCCGTGTGCTAGTGTGTGCCCGCTGTGGGCTGTGCACCGTGTTAAATGCTGGCTGGGTCTCCCCTCATGTCAGCCTCATCCAGCCCTGTGAGTTGGGTGTGACTACGCCTATTTTACAGATGAGGAAGCTGAGTCTCGGAGCTACCCAAGGCCTCCCAGTTAGTACAGAATTCACACTCACAATGGCGACTCCTCAGCTTGAATTTGTGACCCCTGTGGTATGGTGTCCAGGTTTGCCGAAAAGGGAGTGCAGGTCACCCCCTCCCTAAAGAGGCTTGTCCTCTCTGTGGCCAATCACCAACCACAGGCCCTCATAGGAAGGTTACACCAGTTCAGCTGTGTCGGCCGTGTTTATGCTGCCCTTCCTCCAGGGACCCTCTCTGCCCTCCCAGGGCTGTTGGAAAAACTGCCTCCTCTGGGAGCCTTCTTGGATTTCCCCAACTAGGAGTGTTCAGCTCTGCCTTGAACACCCAGAGGGCTCTGCTGAAACTTTGAGGGAAGTGATCACTTTCTGCCTTGGATTAGAGTTACCTACCTGGCTGGGCCGATCTTTGTTCTTCCTTCCCAGCTCCGTGACTAGCTCAGTTTCTCAGTACTATCACAGGAATAGAATGGAAGGACTCTGCCAGCTAATGACAAGACCCCTGGGGGCCCTCTGAGTCCCAAGAGGTGCTTACCCCAAATGGCAAATTAATCAGCAGGAACCTGAGGCTTGGCCCAGGGCTTTGGGTCAGGAGGAGGGAGCATAGGCTGGGGGGGATGTGGTCAGGGCAGGCTTCCTGGAGGAGGTGGGGCCTGGGCTGTGCCGCGTCCGACTGCGGCTGCACGGGAGCCAGCTTCTCATCACATGAGTCTCCTTTAGGCCCTCCCTCACCTGGCGAGCTCCCACACAGCGGAATTCCACACAGCGGTCACCTCTTCCGGGGGGCCTTCCTGAATTCCCACTGACCGCTCTCCCCGAGGCCCCTAGACCTTCAGAATGTCCTAAACAGCGCCCAGGGGGTAGGCCCATTGCTGTCAGTGATGGTGGGGTGGGGGACGGTCATTGAGGAAAGGATCACTGGACCCTGGCGGGGGGGATGGCTGGAGAGGAGGTAGACTTCTTGTCCAGGTTTTGGTGATTAGATGGAAATGGGGGGGTGAGAGCAGATTGCGGTGACCCTGAAATGCAGGGCCTCCCCAACATGTTCTGCCGTCCCCTCTGCTCCAGGCATGAAAGGCGCATGTCCTGTGGGGGGGGGCGGGGCAGCAGGACAGCCTCCCAGTGCGGACCTGCCCTGCCGGCCCCTGGGGTTACCAGACGCCTTGTCTGCCGCAGGCGGCGCTGGCCGAGAGCTCCCGCTTGAAGGAGCAGCTGACGGGGCTGCAGCTGAAGAAGGACTTGCTGAGGAGTATCTTCGGCCCGGACAGAGCCGCAGCCCTCCTGGAGCAGGTGGCGAGCTCTGTGCGGGACAGGGACCTGGTGCACAACAGCCTTCTGCAGAGGAAAAGCAAGCTGCAGGTGGGTGTCCCGGGCCACCCACTGGGCACCAGCCCATCTGGGGAGGGAGGGGGGCGGCCTGCCTTCCTGCCTCAGCGGCACAACTGGCTGCCAGTGGCCTGCCCTCTCCCTTTGTCCCCATGGCCTCAGCTCCTCATCTGTACACCGGGTGTGATGAACGAGCGAGCCTTCTAACGGGTGTCCTGGGCACCTGCCATCCCCTCCTCTGCCCCCCAAACCCCTGTCTACACTGCTGTCACACACAGTCGGCTTCCCCGGGGTTGGGGGGCAGGAGTGTCAAAGGAGATTTCTGTACTAGAGAGAGCGGAACAGCCGTCATGTGAGGACCCCCACGGTGATTCCAGGGAGGGTGTCCAACCCCCGCAAGGGCTCCAGGAAGCCTTCTTGGAGGGGGTGATGCCTGAGTGGGTGTGAGGCGGCCAGGAGAAGGCTGGAGAAAGAGCCGTGGGGGTGTGAGGGGCAGGTTGTGCAAGGTGCGTGTGAGGAAATTTAATTTCTGTGCTGCCCATTATGTGTCTCTGCAGAGCTTGCTGGCCCAGCACAAAGATTTTGGGGCTGCTTTTAAGCCCCTCCAGAAGAAGCTCTCAGACCTCCAAGACAGGGTCCAAACCGAGAATGGGCTTCAGCAGGACCTTCCTCGGAAACAGGCCCAGCTCTCGAGGTTGCAGGTAAGGGCTCAGTGGGGCCTGAGTGGCTCTGCGCATGGGCTCTGCTGCGCCCAGAAGCAGGTCCCCTCCAGCCGCCATGGAGCCACTCACCTGAGCTCGGACCTTTCCTCTGAATTTCTGCTGATTTATCTGGTGGCTTCCTGCCTCTGAGAGACCTTTAGTACCTGCAGACAGCTGATTCCCGAGCCCAGCAAAGTGGTGTTTACTCTGTGATTCCAAAGTCTACTGTGGGTATTGTTTTCCTTAAATTGCTTTGCTAAGGGTTCCTAATGAGTTCAGCGGCCTTCAGTTAAATAATTGGATTTTTCAAAGTGAAAAAAATGCTTTAAAACACCTGCAGGCTGCACACAGGCTGCCCGTCGATAATTATCGGCTTGATAAGGAGCTGATAAGATTTTAAATGCACGTGATACAAGGATCCTTTTAAAACTCCGGCAGAGCTCATCCTTCTGTTGAGAGGGTTCTTAGGAAGACATTAAAAATGGTGCATTTGGGGACGCCTGGGTGGCTCAGTTGGTTGGACGACTGCCTTTGGCTCAGGTCATGATCCTGGGAGTCCTGGGATCGAGTCCCGCATCGGGCTCCCAGCTCCATGGGGAGTCTGCTTCTCTCTCTGACCTTCTCCTCGCTCATGCTCTCTCTGTCTCTCTCTCTCAAATAAATAAATAAAATCTTAAAAAAAAAAATGGTGCATTTGGGGGCTTTGAAACTCAGGTTGGGCTGTGATTCTTCTCCAGGAGAAGTGGTCGTCAAGTAAGAATTCACATGGGAGTTTGCTCCCCAGAGAAGCCTTCCAGGCTGGTGTCCCAGAATTTTTTTTTAAGATTTTATTTGACAGAAAGAGCACAAAAAGGGGGAGTGGCAGGCAGAGGGAGAGGGAGCAGCAGACTCTGTGCTGAGCAGAGATCACAACGCGGGGCTCGATCTCAGGACCCTGGGATCTTGACTGAGCTGAAGGCAGATGCTTAACAGACTGAGCCACCCAGGCGCCCTGTCCCAGAATATTTTTGTCTCCTTTTAAAGATCTTACCAGCTCTGAGGGGGGGACCTGTCAGATGGCCATATGGTGCAGCCTCAGGGGTGGGGAGCCCCATCATGCCGGGACCCTCCCGAGCTCCTCCACTCAGAATCTCTCCCCCCAACCCTGATCGGCTCCCATGACAAGAGGCAAACAGGACAGCCACACTTGCTGCTTTTCCTGCAGGGGCTTCAGGAAGAAGGGCTGGACCTGAGGGCACAGATGGAGGCCCTGAGGCCTCTCATCCAGGGGAACCCCAGCCACCAGCACAAAATGGACCAGCTTTCCACCAACTACCAGGCCCTGCAAAGATCTCTGGAGGTAAACCAGGCTCCCAGGATCCTACACTCTGGGGGTCTTCCTCTGTCTTTTCTTCCTTTATTCCTTCCAACCTTTATTTCTTTTTCCGTTCCTATCTTCTCTTCCTCATTCACCCAGCAGATGGTTATTGAGCACCTCCTGTAGGCCAGGCAGTGTTCTGGGCCCCAAGGCGGAAGGCCGCACCAGCCAGCCAGCCAAAGCCCCTGCTCCCCGGGGGATTGTATTCTAGTGGGTGGATGGACCATGAGTCAGCAAAATAGCAAGTTCAGATATAATTCCAGGTGTGCCAGGAGGTGGAGGAACAGAACGGGCTGCTCTGATCCCCACAGCAGCCCGGGGGGTGCAGTGGGTGTTGGCTGGGTAAAGGGCAAGTTGAAAGTTGCACCGCAGCTGCCCGGGGCTTTCTCTGCAGCGCCCTCTAGCGGCCTCCCTGGGCTCTGTCGGGTCTGCACCCTTCTGCCGGCCCCTTGAGCCCTGGGAATGGGGCAGGGTACAAGCTTCTTCAAAACCGGCCTGAGGACAAGTTTCAGTGACTGATTCAGATAGGGGCCCGGGTCTGCCTTGGTCACCTGTGCCCAGGGGATTGCGGGGCCGGCCCTCAGGCAGCCATTCTTCAAGAAAACAGTCTAAGGCCGGTTCTCCGCGCTACGGGACCCCGCCTATTTTAATATCAAATGTTCCCAACATCCTGTGTCATCCCGAAATTCATAGAGAGTCTAAGTGGCCCACGCAACGTAAGAACGGCATGTAATGCCTTTCCTGTAATACGAAAGAGAAGAGGCAGTAGTTAGAATAAAATGCTTTTGGCATGTAAGTGTGGAAGGTGGTCCCAGGAAGGCGCGCCCCGTGTGGGTGACCGCCCCCAGCGCCTCTACTTATGAGATTCTCCGAAAATGTGAACAACATTTGGTGAAGTTTCAGTCACACCAAAGCACAGTCTTCCATCCATTGACGGAGGAGAGGCATTCCTGGACAAATCAGGCTGTTTATTAGGACCAGAAACCTCTGTGTTTGTCCGTCAGCTGGGGAAAGTGTCCAAGCTGGGGTCATGATCAGCATGTTTCTCCGCACTGCGGGTTCAAGGAGGGCACAAGGAAACTTTGCAGGCCATGGGGCAGCGGGGTGGCCACACCTGTCGCTCTCACTGTTTCTGCAGGTGTCACTCCTGCCCCATCACTGTCACAGCAACCAAGCCCCGCCCCACCCTGCGAGCTTCCAGGAAACACGGACCCACCTGTAGATGCCCACTGATCTGCGTGACTGACTTAACTCCACTTAATAAATTAGCGGCTAGTGGTCTCAAGGTGGAGGCAGGGGGCGTAGAGAAAAAGGAATCACCGTCCCTGCTGCTTGGGAGCCCACAGAGCCCAGAGAAGCAGCAAGCCTGAGCGCTAATGCTTGTATCACGTGATGAGTCTGCTTGATCGTGATAATAATTAGAAGCAGCATTAGCTGAGCCCGATTAGTAGTGGGGGAACGCGGATTCTCCAATCGTCTCATGCTTCTTCATTTGTTGTCTACATACTTCTTCAAAGAAGTCATGCCCCCCCCCTTTATTACTGGGGTACTCAGGGCTTTTTAAATCCTTTAAGTGCAAATAAGTCCTTCCCCCACAGCCCAGGTGACCCTCCTGTCTCCCCTTGGGGGGGGGCACCTACCCCACTAAGCGACCCGAGGCCACTGAAGGCATTGGGTCTGAAGGTGCCCAGGGGACGGGAGGGGCAGGTGTGGTGACACTGTGGAGCAGTGGAGTCTTAGGTGACTGTTCGGGCTCTGGTCACTGGTTTGTTGCAGGAAGATGGGATGCAGTGTCTGTGTGTCCCCAGCTCTAGCGGGCCTGGCATCCAGTGGTATCAGCCAGCATCCGGAATGCAAGAGGGCGGGGCCGGTGGTGGCCTCAGCCAGGGCTCGCAGAGAGACCCGGGGGTCTGACTGCGCTGCGGTGGGCTGGCGGGAGGGCTCAGAGGGGCCCAGGTTGGGTGACCAGGAGGACAGACAGGCGCCCTCCTTTCCTGAAGACGGAGAAGAACAAGGCCCAGCCTCAGAGAGCTGAGAGGGGCTGACCCAGAGGAGGGGCAAGAAAAAGCAAGACCATTTTCCAAAACTATCAGAATATAATCCTTTCTAGAAAAGCAAGCGTCTAAGTGTGCAGTTGGACGAATTTTTAAAAACGGTCCACGTTGCCAGCACCCAGATCATGACACAGAATGACAGTGGCTTCCCCCGGCCCCCAGAGCCCCTCATGCCCCCTGCAGTCACGGCCCACCACTCCTGGCACCTGAGGGTTACCCCGACTTTCAACTTGGAACACCATGGATTGGGTTTGCCTGATTTTAGATGTTATTTTAATTGAATCTGACAGAACGTTATCTTTGGTGTCCAGCTCCCAGCTGCCCACAGGTTGGCTGTAAATTCATTCACAGTGCTGCGTTAGGTTCTTGTTTAAACTGTTCATTCTAAAATAGTCCCCTGTCTGAAGATAGCTCCTCATACGCACCCGCGCTTCTGTCGCTGGGCACCTGGCTAGCTTCCAGGTCGGGGCTCTCACAAGTAGCACCACTCGCGGGCGTGTCTTTTGGTGAAGATGCTTGTGTCTGTTACATTTACCTCCGGAGTGAGATGGTTGGGGCCCAGGGATGCCTGTGTTCAGTTGTAGTAGACACTGACCTTTGGTTCTCCCCAGTGGCGTGTGAGGGTTGTGCACACAGGTGGTGCGGGGGAGCCCTGATTGCCCGTACCCTCATCCGGACACGGTGCCGTCTGTAAAAGTCATGCCGGACTAGAGATACTTTAAACCACAGCTGGTCTACCCAGGGTAAATTCCCTATACTGGGCAGAAGGGATGACTTGCCTCTTGTGTTCCTGCTGGGTGGGGAGCCCTAGGGGCCATCTTACTGGGGGGCCTGTAGGATGTGGGGGCGCCCAGGGTCCCAGCCCCCTCTGGTGCTCAGACCACACTGGGCCCCCCGGGACTGTGCCGCAGGACCTCACGGACAGGTGCCAGCAGGGCGTGCGGGAGCACTGTACCTTCTGCCACGAGCTGTTGGAGCTGCGGCAATGGATTGCCACGGTCTCTCAGAAGCTACGGTCACACCGGGAGGACGCGGGCCCCTGGGACGCCCCGTCCCGAGAAGTCGAAGTCGAGGTAAGACGGCTTACCCAGTTCCCTCCCTTGCCTCCCAAGAAGCAGGCTTGGGAGGTCAAAGATCAACACGCAGGGACTGGAAAACCCTGCCCCGACCTCTCACTGTGCGGGGCCGCATGTCCTGTAGAGGCTGCTGGCTGAGCTCCCGGAGAAGGAGGCCCAGCTGCCCCTGGTCGAAGCGCACGGCCAGCTGGTGATGAAGAAGTCGTCTCCGGAAGGGGCTGCCGTGGTCCAGGAGGAGCTGGAGGAGCTGGTGGCGTCATGGCAGGCCCTGAGGCGGCTGGAGGAAAGCCTGCTGAGGTGAGGGTCCCTGGTTCAGAGCCTGGTCTCAGGCAACACCCCCTTACCATGCAGGGGAGAGCCCTGGGGTGCCCTTAGAACAGGAGGCCGGTGTTCCGCTGGGCGCCAAGCATGATGCCAGGCGCAGCTCTGGTCTGTCCCAAGGGCAGTGTCCCAGCCTGGGGCTGAGCCTCCAGCCCACGCTGCCTGGGGCCTCCCCCTTGTCCATGAGTACCTGCACTTTAATGACAAGGTCACGTGGGTCTCCAGTAGGAAACTGGAAATGCATGTGCCAGGGGAGCGTTCCGGCAAACCCGAAGGATCGACGACCCAGAGGATGGGCTCCTACCACGCGGTGCCCTGGTTCTGTTGCTTCCGTGACCTGGCGAGTCCCCATCGCTTCACCGCGGTGACTGGCCCGTTTGTCTCCTCAGCCTCATCAGAAACCGGCAGCTTCAGAGGATGGAAGTGGACTCGGGGAGGAAAATGATTTTCACCAACAACATCCCAAAGGCCGGGTTTCTCATCGATCCCGTGGATCCTGTTTCCAGGCGTCACCGTCAGGTGCGTGTGACTCGCGGGGCTCCCCGGGGCGGGGTGGCCGGGGCCAGCGTCAGGGATGGGGGATGGTCTTCAGCCACGTGCTCGGCTCAGGACTTGGCTGGGTCCCATCCTGGATGCCCCTGCCCCTGCTCCTTGTGCCACGGTACTGAGGGACCCAGAGACCCCAGACCCAGGCCCCAGGGAAGGTCAGAGGCGTCCCTTGTGGGGACAGGTCCTCACCCCTCAGACACGAGATAGCCAGCCGGCCCCGCAGGGCTGAGGGCTTCCTGCTGGCCCCCGATTGCAAACTGCAGTCATGCAGGGTGGGCCCCTCTTTGTGCCCTAAGCTGTATTTTGTTCGAGAGATCTAACCTAACCACCTTGCGTTATCTGTCCCTTCTCTTGACAGCCAAGGAAATGCATTAAAAAGACATTCCTTCTTGGTTCTTCAGAAACCAATGCCAGCTCTCATTCTCCCCTGTATTCTTGTACTGTCCCTTCCCAAATGACCTGCCGGGGGTCGCTGTGACCGGTGGGGGGGTTAGGGTGGGGGAAAGGTGGTCCGCACAGAAAGGTGGTCCTGGCAGAGCTGGGACCTGGGGCCCTCAGAGGGTCACACCCACAGCCTCGCTGACCACAGCTTTGCATTTTCGACATTCCCTCTGGCCACAGAGCCCGGAGAGGGCCAGGTGTGGTGCACAGGTGACCACTGTTCCGCTGTCCTGGTAAGGAATGGTGGCGGCTGCCGCTAGGACACCAGCAGGTGGCCACGATGACCCACTGTCATAGCTCCAGCAGCTCGGGGCTGAAAGTGCCGTGATCCCACATGCCCCGCAGGCACCCATCCACGAGATCCTGTGGCACAGCCTTGGGGGACCCAGGGCGCCCTGAGCACCAGCCGAGGCAGACCCCTGGGCCACCCCAACCCTGCGGGACCTCCGGACCTGAATCAGAATTAAACTCCTAACATGGCCACATTGAATGGAGAGACATGCCTCCTCCCGCCCAGGCCTCTCTCCTTCCCTTTGTGCGTCCCCATCCCCACCTTCTGCCTCAGTGGAAACCCCCAGGGTTCGGGGCCGATGGGCTGTTTCACCTCTGATGCCTTGACAGCACTGTGTGCTCCGCAGGCAAATCCGCTCCAGGACGAAGGCGGCCATGAAGGTTTCTCCCGGCTCCAAAGGGACTTCGAGCAGTGGCTGGAGGAGGAAAATGCCAAGCTGGTTAGAATCATCGCCATGAGAACAGCCACTGCCAAGGATCTGAGGACCAGGGAGACAAAGCTGCAGGTTAGTTCTCACATAAAGGTTTCCCCCCCGTGGATGTGCTTGCCACCAGGGAGTTCTTAAAAAAAAAAAAAAAAAAAAGAGGACACACTTGGCTTGTGAGCCATTTTTACTTATGTATAAGTAACAGTTCTTAAACTTTTTGGGTTCACGTGTTTCAGAAGAACTCTAGAAGAACCATTCATTCCTTCAGCCTAGGGAACTTGGAAAATAGCACTACTAATCTCAACTCTGATATCAGTTAGCTGTTGCTGTGTAACAAACCGTTCCGATGGTTTGTGGCTTCAGACAGCCCGTTTCATTTAACTCATGATTCTGAAGGTTGGCAGTCTAGGCTAAGGCCATCTGGGCAATGCTTCTGGTCTCAGCAGGGCTCCCTGATTTGCTGTCAGTTATGGTCAGCTGGGCGGCTCTACTAGGGGTTGGCAGGCTGCTGGAGATGAACCACGCATCTGCTTCCCTCCTGTGGGCAGCCCAGGCTTCTAGTAGCAGAGCCATTGCCTGAGAGGGTAAGTGGGGGAGCCCTTCTGAGGCCTAGAGTAGGAACTGGTACATGACTTCCCCTGTATTCTGTTGGACAAAGAAAATCACAAGGCCAAGCCAGATTCAGGTGGAGGAAAAAGAGTCTCCACCTCCTGATGGGAAATACTCAAGGTCATATCACAAAGGGCATGGATATGGCAGGGAGGTGCGTTAGGAGCATCATAGCCATTTTTGCGATCCTTCTACCTTCCAATCTTCTTTCTCCTTCACTTCCATGTCTAAACAGTCCCCCAGCCCTTCTGGATTCCACCTCCTGAGTGCGTTTTGTTCTGTGCCCGCTTGCTACCACTGTGTTAATCTAGGTAGTTACCACTTCTGACCTTGATTATGGTGGTAGGCTCCCAGCTGGCCTCCTTCCTTCCTGTTGGGCCCCCATCCAGGTCACAGCTCAGTTCTGCAGCCAGAGTGACCTTCAGCATCATAAACCTGCCTTTGTTCTTCCCTTGATGAGAGCTTTTCAGTAGAGAATCCAACCACATCCGCACCCTAAGCATATCACACGATGTCAGCTTAACCAGGCCCCAGCCTACCTCTTTTTTTCCTTGTTTCTCTGCAGTTTTACTGGGATATGTTAGGGTTTGGAATTTTTTTTTACATTTTTCTTACCTGGAACTCATCTGGATTCTGGAATCTGTGGTTTAGAGTCTTTCTAGAAAATTCTGTGATACTTTAACATATTGCCTCTGTTTATTGCCTCTTAACATACTGCCTTGTTCCCCTTCTCCTCTCCTTCTGTGATGCTGCTGAAACATGGTCTTCCTTCTCACTGGGGGCTCTATGTCTCCTCCCTTCTCTTATGTCTTGTTCATCCTTCGGTCTCTTCCTGTTGCATTCTGGAGACTTTTTCTACCCTGCCTTCCAGTTTACAGATTCTCTCTTTAGCTGTGTCTCATTCATTTTACACATGTCTGTTAGGCCTTTACCTTTTGATACTATGTTCCCCAGTTCTAGAATTTCTACCCAGTTCTCTTGAAATAACCACTCTGTTACTTTCCGTAGCTTCCAGAACCCTGCTGATCTTCTTAAGCCTGGTGTTTAATCCTTCGAGCATAGTAAAGAGACCTGTCTTACCAAGTGTGTCTAATAATTCTAGTATCTCAAGTCATCTTAGAAACGTTTCTTCTACGTGTTGTTTCTGCCCGTTCTTGTTGTCAGTGTCTTGGAGGTGTGCGGCTGCTTTGCTTTTGTGCTGGGCATCGCATGTGGCGAAAGAAGTATAGGGCTCATTTGAAATTGAGGATCATCTCTTTTCCAGGGAGGATTTTGTTTGTGGTTTCCAGGCAAGGAGGGCTTTATTATTCTGAAACCAGGGAATCCAAGTTCAATGTTGGAGGCTCCCTGCGCCCCCTGATGATGCAGACTTCAGTCTACACAGGGTGTGAGTTTATTTCTGATTAACCTTTGGGAAGTCTCAGCCACAGGGGGAGAGGGTTATGAGAATCTCCACTCCTACAGAGCCCAGACCTTGACCTTTGTCTCTGGAGCCCTGTGAGGCTGCCAAAATCATGATCTGCTTCACAACTCTTCCTTCCAGATTGGCAAGTGTCCTGCAAGCAAAAGCAGGCCTGACACTGGGCTTACTTCTCTGGGCTTCATCATTTCCCAGGTTTTAGCCTGATGGGCCTCACTCTCTTGCCAACTCCTGGATGCCTTTTCAGTGTTTTTAGTAGTTTGTCCTCGGCCAGAGGTTTGGTCCAGTCATCTAGGGGACAATGAGCAGGAAGTCCTTCCTGCGGACCTCCTACTTCACATTCGGCCACAATTCATTTCTTGATTTCTTGCCACCACTGCCCAACCCCAGTTGTATCACAGACAGCTTGCGACTGCCCCAGGTTAAGCCTCACTCTTGTCTAGCTCACACTCTAATGGGTTCCAAAAAGCTAGGCAAACTGCCTGTATCACACTGTGAGTAGGATGGGAGGAAAGCAAGGCTACAAAGCCCGAATTTAGACCCATGTGCTCTGATTTGGAGCCCTGCTCCTACCCTCACATCACTACAGCCCCAGAGTCCTGAGGATTATCTGCCTAATCCCCGTAGCCCACGTCCAGGCTTGCCCATGCCAACACAAAAGCATGTTCAACAGTGGTAGCTTTTTATAATGAGGGCAACTCTGATGTCAGGCTCTCCAGAGGACCCAGTTCTAGAACATTAGAGATGGAAGTAACCGTGGAGATCATTCTGGATTGTTCCTGAAAGTGACTGCCTGGCCTTGGCTTGAATTTGCCTGAAGGGGTTCTCACCTTACAGGTTCTGCCAGCCGCCTCTCAAGTGAAATTTGATTGGCTCTGTGTGACCGGCCAGGTGGGGTGGTCTGGTCCATTTAGAAGGCTCACAGGACACTGCCTTTTCCCCACAGGAGCTGGAGGCTCGGGTGCCAGAAGGTCAGCATCTCTTCGAGAACCTCCTTCAACTCGGGCCAGCAAGGGGGACCTCCAACGACCTGGAGGACTTGCGGTACCAGTGGATGCTGTACAAGTCCAAGCTCAAGGACTCTAGCTACCTGCTGGTAGGTGCTAAGGAAGCGTGGGTCCCAGGCCTCGGGGTTGGGATTCTGGCTAAGCACAGGCTCACGTAGGGAGATGAGCTGGGCCACACACTTTCTGCCCTGGGCCTCCACACTCCAGACTGAGGCGACCACTCCAAGAGAGCAGTGCTCGGTAACAAAATGTCGCATGGTCGTCTTGCTGCCCTGTGTGGCTGGCGCTCTGGGAACGATGGCGGGAGCCATCACGGTTAATGAGTGAGGATAGCTTTGCTGCCTACTGAGCTAAAACCTTCAGGACCCTATTCAGTCCTGCCTCCAGTTTCCAAAGTGGGGGCTGAGACTCAGGACCTGTCTCAGGGTCATAGAGACAAGAAGCCGCAGAGCCAGCATTCAGAGCGCCCCGCCGGGGGAGGCGTGATAGAGGGGAGCACGGCCCTCAGCCCTGGGATCCAGCCCTGTTCCCCCACCGATTTTCTCTGCGATGTGGGACAAGCACCTTCCCCCTTTGTGTCCCCATGTCCCCTTGCACAAAAGAGAAGTAATAGTCATGAGAGCCTTTATGAAATGTGATGTCCATGTAACAACCCTATAAAGGAGGTGCTGTTGTTATTCTCTGAGATGCGACGGGGAAACTGAGGCACAAGGGCTAGCCCGAGGTGGGGGCCATTGAGGTAGCCTCGGGGGGCCCTATGTGTCTTCAGATCCCAGACACCAAGCTTTGGCGCTCCAACTCCGCTGTCCCTGCAACTACCAGTGCTGGCCACTAGGTGTCAGCATAGCCCCGGGAGGGGCCGCCTGGCCTGCGCCTTCCCAGACAGAATCCCACCTGGGCCTGAAGTGCGTTAAAAAGCTCATTAAATCGAATCACCTGCTGGTTCAGCCTATCCAGATGACCAGAAGTTTTAAAGAAACACTCCCCTGACAGAATGAATATTCCATTACAGGCTCTGTTGGGATTTCAGTTTCACTCACTTAATGTCTTTTTTCCCCTTTTCCTCTCCTTCCCGAAAATAACAGACACAGAGTTCTCCAGGGGAACCGACTGGATTCCAAAAGGTACCGTGTCTGCCATCTGCTCCACACGCTAGAGGGCAGGGTGTCTGGAGGCTGGTAGGCCTGCGATGCTGAAGCCAGACTCCTGGGCTTTCTGGAAGGTTCCATGAGGTGCGAGGCACATTTTGTGGGGAATGAGCTCTGGGCTGCCCTATGTGGGGCCCCGGGGCCCTGGGAAAGCCCCAGAAGGGTGCAGAATGTACTCATCTGTGACACACCTATGATAGAGGAAGGACCCTGGAGTTTTTCATATAAAACCAGGATGTGGTGGGGAACGGACAGGCACACTGTTGATAGTTATGTGGGGACAACAGGTATACACCGGGACTGTCCAAGGAAACCCGGACCATTACGGGCATGCTGGATTGTGTGGCCCCCTGAGTGCTGGCTGGGTGTCCAGGGGTCAGGGTAGGGACAGAAGGGGAAGGGGGAGTTGTGCCTTTCCTGTTCTACCAGCAGGTGTTTCCACTCGGGCCCATTAAGAAGTGCCAAGAGCCCCTCCTGTGGTCCTTGCCGGCCAAGACAGTCACAGTGACAGCAGTAATAATCCTAATGAGTAATAATTATTATTGCCCTCGATGCTAGGTAGTAACTGTCCACTGTGTGCCAGGAATCGTGCTAAATCATGATCAGGGCATCTCATTTAACTGTCCCATCAACGCTCAAGAGGCATCACTCCCTCCACTTAAGCATAAGGAAACTGAGCCAGGACCGGATTGGAATGACTCGTTCAGCCCAGGCATGCAGCTTCCGGGTGGTCTTTGGCCTCTCGCTCCAAAGCCCACATCTTGGCTTTCCATGCTGTGCCTTGGAGACGGCATCCCGGGGGCCCGGTGGGTATCCCTGTTTCGGGGAAAACCCAATGTAAATTGATGTCACCTTTTCCAAGGAAACACAATTGTTTCCCTGCCAAGCACTGGCCCGTAATGAAGGGAGCCTTCAGCGTGCTCTGCTCCAAATAGCTCTGGGTTCTTCGAGATCCCTAATACCATGGAATCTGTTTCCAGGTGCTTTGCACACCAGGATTTCTTCTTGGTCTCTGGCTGGGGCTCACATCTCACATCTGCAGGGGAATGGGTGTCCCCTGGACTGGGTGGGGCCGTCACAAGACCAACACTGTGCTTTGGGCCAGGCATCACCTAGCCTGGATCGAGTTGCTTTGCCTCTTGGGGCTTACTTTCCCATCTGTAAAATGGAATGATCAATTATCAATTATCAATGCTGACTTTATTTCCTTCATGAATGAATATGGAAGATCATGTGAACGGTTATTCGTAGAATTTTTCAGAGAGACTAGAGGCCTGGTTTTACCCCCAATTTGGAATAACAGAGGGTCTCCCCAAGAAATGGGGAAGAGCATCAGGAAGAACAGGGTGTCTCCCACAGGCTAGCCTGGTGACTCCTGGTGGCCTCCGCACTGTAAGCCCCTCCATGGGGAACCCTCTTCTGATCTGGAGCTCCTGGTTGGTCTCCATGGGAGTCTTGTCTGGGTCCCTGATGCCTTGCACACAGTAAGTGCTCACTGAACGTTTCTGTGTAGGGGGACACGTGGCTGGGGGCACCAGGCCTCCCGAGCAGGCTCGCGTCCCAGCAGCCTGTATTGGCTGAATGTGGAGTGTCCACAGCCCTGTGTTCACTTGCTGTCTCCCACTCATTCACTCATTCATTCATTTCACAAGGGTTTACTGAGCCCCAACTATGCGCCAAGCACTGATCTGGGAAATTGAGATCCATGGGTGAGCACAAGAGCAGAGACCCGACCCCGGGGACTGGGCATCCTGGCAGGGTGGAGGGCGCCTGGGAGGAGGGCTCACACGTCCAGCTGATGGTGCTCAGGACGGTGAGTGTCTCTGGGTCGGGGGCTCTGAAGAGCAGCAGACCGGGGTCTTTATAGCAGGGATTGTCTTATCCGCAGGCGGCAGACGTTGGGCACAGTTTTGTAGGGTTTGCAAAAAAAAATGTGCTTATTCGGGCTCTGTAGAATAACTAAGTGTGTGAACATCTGAGTTCTGTGCTGGCTCGCTGGCTGGCTGGCTGGCTGGCTTTTGTGAAGCCGGCTGCGGGGAAGTGCGCAGCCTACAAGCCAGTGTGCAGAGACCATCGTGGGCTCACTGATGTGACAGCTGAAGCACAGACTTCTGGGTCCCACTCTGCGTGTCTGATTCACAGGGGCTGAGATGGCCCAAGAACCTGAGTTTCTAGCAGGTTCCCAAGTGATGCTGAGGCCGCCTGGGACCACACTTTGAGAACCACGGCTTGGTGCCCCGGATTTGAATCTAAGACCCACCGTTAGCGTGTGTGCCTGTCCACGTGTCCCTCAGCCACAGTTTTCCGCTGAACAGAATGAGGGTCCACTGAGCTAACGGTCTGCAGAGTTCCTGTAACAACCCGCATACAGTAGGTGCTTAAGTGCCCCATCAGTGAGGCCCTGGAAGACTTCTGCGGACACTGCCCCTGCTTATCTTTCTGAGAACAAAGGGAGCAGTGACGCTCCTGGGGGTGGAGGGATTTCTCCCTTTGGTCCCGTTCTTGAGTGGTTTTTGCCGGTCTGTGTGTGCGCATGCGCATACCTGCGCCAATGCGCGTGCACGTGCACACGCGCGCGCGCCCGACTGGCAGAAAGCAGACTCTGTCTTCAGGCGTTGTAATCTTGCCAACTTAAAAACCTTTCGTATGTGATTTTTAGTCCAAAAGAAAAGGGGTGGGGGGGAAACCTGCCCCAAAGCTAATTATTTATGAGCAGTTGGTTCTCTGCACTTTTTTTTCCCTCCATGCACCAAGTCATTGAAAGCTCCAGCGACGTCAGTGGCTTCAGCCTGCTTGTTTATATAAACACAATAATTAAGATTTATTAAATTTGCAGCTGCCTACACACTTGGCAGCTCGGTGCCACCGGAGACGCGTGCCTGCAGCATTCAGACACAGGACACGTCATTGCTTTTTCGATGGCAACTGGGCCGTGAGTCGACTGCATTTTTGCAAGAGCGCGGGGAAGGGGCGTGTGGCCCTTCTGGAGACAAACTTTTATTTGCTGAAGAACAGATTGGCAAGGGTTTCTGGTTGCCTGGGTCGACTGGGGCCGGGCCAAGGCACCGGTTTGCATGACTGGAGAGCAACCCCCACCCCCTCCCGTGCACACTGTAGCCCCTGTGGGTGTAGCCCCAGACACCGAGCCACCCAAAGTCACATTTTATTTACTCCATCATATTGCATAGGTCTTAAGACTCGTGATTTTTCACATTTTCACATTTCTGGAGTTTGGGCGACTTACTAGGATCTACTTCTCTCCGTGAGGATTTGGGCTTGCTTCCCTCCACCACCCAGGACGCTCACCACCTGAGATTTCCCTAAATGGAAAATCTTTGCTTGCAGGTGGTGTCTTGTTTTGTTTTCCTTCGGCTCACGCTGATTGTGTAAACTCAGAGCCCCCCCCCCCACACACACACCCAGGAGCTGTGGGTCACATTCGCAGGGAAGAGGAACTCTCCTCACTTCACCCAGTACCAAGATAATACCTTGTATTTCCTTGTTTCCCCTTTCTGGGAGGTGGGATGACTTCTCGTTTCCCCTGACAGGGAAGGTGAGGCCCCTTGGGGCCCAGATTTAGGTGGAGTCTCCCATCATGTGCCCCATCTTGGTGGGTTGTGTCCTTTCTGAGTGGTTTATAAATAATGACACACCTCGCAGTCGGTGTCCTCGATCAGAGGAAATACTGAGGTGTCAAATATAAGGAAGCCTTAGTGAGTTCTCTAAGTTAGATGGCAACTTTTTAAAAAATAATCTTTTTTTAAAAAATCTTTACTATGCACTGGGCTTGACACTCTTAACACTCAGGTGCCAGCCTTTGTCACTTGTGACCACCTTCTTTGTAGTGGGAGGAGCGTGGCCTCTTGGGTCGTTTTCCATATGTGACAAAGGGCCCAGTTGGGGTGGGGACAGAGGAGATGTAACGTGGCTTTGTCCCGCTGTGATTCCCTGTGCGATTTTGGGGGCTAACTTTGCCTCTTTCTTGGTCAAAGGGTTGGGCTTTCTGGGACTGTGCAATCTCTGACCTTGAAGAGGAGAGAGCCCAGGCTGGGCCTCCCCCCATGTGCTATGTTATCCCAGGCCCCTGTCTGTCCATCTGTCCACCAAGTGCAGAAGCGACAGGCTACCACCGATGTAGGAAAGAGTCTGTGCTAACTCTTCGGACATCAAGGTTTTAAAACTTGTCTTTGACTTCAGAAATCCAGACAGGTTCTTCTCCATGTGCTCTATGTCCTCATCTCCCTCCACCCCCCGTCACCCAGCCCACCTGCCTTCGCCCACCTCCCCACTCCTCTGAAATTCACCCCCAGCGAGGTAATGGTAGCTCCTGCTTCACTAAGCCTCATGAGCATGTCTCTGGCCTCCTGTCCCTGGCCTCTGGGCAGCCCAGGCTGGTGACCGCGCTCCCCGCCCATAGCTGCTCTGGTGTCTCTTCTCGTGCTGGGTCCTGGGTGCCTCTGTCTTTGTCTTATTTTTTCCAGTGAACACAATCAGTGTTGGTAAGACTCAGTGTGGGTGAAATTCCATTACTTAATGCGGAGTCGTTATTCAAAATCTTAAAGCTGCCTCGATAGCCTTTTAAAAAATTACTAGACTTTTTTTGGGGAGCAGTTTTAGGTTGATAGAAAAACCAAGCAGACTAGACAGAGGGTTCCAGCTAGTTCCTCTCCTCGACCCCTCTCCCACCTCTCCCTTATTATTAACATCCTGCATTGGTATGGTCTGTTGGCCACAATCGATCTGTCACAATATCAACACATCACTGTTAGCTGAAGCACGGAGTTTACATCAGGGTTCACCGTGAAGTTTGTTCTATGGGTTTGACAAATGTGGAATGGCACATATCCACCTTCCTCGTGCCACGAAGAACAGCTTCACTGCCCAAAAAATCCCCATGCGCCACCTACCCAACCCTCCCCCGCCGAGCCCCTGGCAACCACGGATTGTTCTACTGTCTCTGTAGTTTTGTATTTTCCAGAACATCGTAGAGTTGGAATCAGACCATATGGAGCCTTCTCAGACTGGCTTCTTTCAGTTGGTAATATGCATTTAAGGTTCCCACCTGGTTTGGGGGTTGCTTGAAAGCTCATTTCTTTTTGTCACTGAGTCATATCCCATTGTTTTAATATTCCACTTCTGGTCTTTTTTGTAGACCTCTTTCCTCCGTGCAGGATCCAGTCCAGGGTCACCCACTGCATTCAGTTGGTACATCTCTTTGGTTTCCTCTAGGCTAGAACTTGTCTTCTGTTTTCCGACCTTGACCTTGAGTCCAGGTCAGAGATTTTATAGGATGTCCCTCAAGCCACGTTTCCCTGGTATTTCCTTGTGATCGGAGTCGGGCTGTGCATTTCTGGCAGGAATGTTGTGAAAGGGTTGCTGTATTCTTGGTGCCTTACTGGGAGACCCATGATGTCGCTAGGAACTCATGCTCACTCGGTGACTCAGGTGACTTACCTTTCCCCCTCCTCGAGACACTGCTGATACCAGCGCCACCAGGAGGGCCTCTCAGCTGTGTGGGTTATAACAAGTCTGGTTTTGCAAAATCAGTGGCAAAGGGCTTCGGTGAGTGAGAACACGAGGCTGGAGGCATAGGGTCAAGTGTTATCAACCTGGAGGAGATCGTGTGGCAGGAGGTGAGGTGAGTCAAGCGTGAGAACTGAAGAGTCGGAAGTGCTCAGGTCAGAACCTCCCAAGAACACCCACATTCAGCAACGCTTCCTCATCACCACCATCACTGCTGTTGCCATCATCATCCTCACCTTCCTTACCACCATCACCATCCTCACCATTGTCACCATCACCTCCACCACCATCACCACCATCGTCGTCATTGTTATCCTCCTCACCACCTGCATCGTGATCATCACCACCACATCACCATCACCATTGTCACTATCATTGCCATCACCACTACCATCGTCACCATCATCCTCATCATCTCCACCATCATCACCATCTCCATCATCTTCACCTCTTCCACCATCTCCACCACCACCACCATCACCATCCTCATGCTGTCACCATCACCACTACAACCACCATCATGTCATCACCATCTCCATCATCTTCACCTCTTCCACCACCATCTCCACCACCACCATCATCACCATCCTCATGCTGTCACCATCACCACCACAACCACCATCATGTCATCACCATCTCCATCATCTTCACCTCTTCTACCACCATCTCCACCACCATCATCACCATCCTCATGCTGTCACCATCACCACCACAACCACCATCATGTCATCACCATCTCCATCATCTTCACCTCTTCCACCATCATCATCACCACCACCATCATCACCATCCTCATGCTGTCACCATCACCACCACAACCACCATCATGTCATCACCGTCACCACCACCATCGTTACCTTCATTGTCTTCGTCATCCTCACCATCCCTTGACTGTAGCTCTTGGTTCCTGGACAGTGACCCTTTGGTTCTTCAAGGACCCAACAGATACATTCTACAATAGTAGTCCTACTTACATACTTTTTAAATTGGTATATAGATATACTTTGCTTTGACTCCTCTCTACAACCTGACAGATGGCGGTAGGTGTTTTATCCCCATCTTGCTGAGACTGAAATGGCCCAGAGAGGTTACTGACTCTGCCAAGGTCATAGAGATACTGTGTGACAGAGTCCACGATGGACACTAGTCGGCCAGGTCCCTAAGGGCTAGGCCTCTGCCCTGCACTGTGCTGTCTTTGGGCCATGGGGCCTCTACTTCCCTGAGTAGCCAGCTCTTGGTCCTGCTCTCTTTGGCAGTGAGGACATCCCACAAGGCCACAACCCAGCCAGTGCCTCTAGACTTTGGGAAATGTGTCTTGGCAACTTTCATGGGTGTTACAGCAAGATCGTTGATTAGGCTTTCGGGCCCGTGTGTCTGGCCTTTGGGTGATATTGGCGGTGTCGATGGTGACGGTGGTGATGCAGAAGGTGGAGGAGAAGGGGGAGGAGGTGGTGCTGAAGAGCGTGGCGCCGAGCACAGCGGTACCTTCCCAACCGTGACTGCCGTGAGAAAACCAGCGATCCTCACTTCCAGCAAAACGGACATTAGCCCCACTTCCCAGTCGGGCAAACTGAGCCCCAGCTAGTCAGCCCAGAGCCGCTGCTCGCCTAGCGTCCCCCTCACCCTCCTGACCCACTCAGGGCCCCTGAGCCCACTCACACCTGCCTTTGTTCTGTAGAATCCGCAGTGGCCGTGGCAGTGGCGGTGGCCGTGTTGGTGGCGAGACCCCCGAGCACTCTTCCGGAAGGCGTGCCGCGTGGCGCTGCCCCTGCAGCTGCTGCTGCTTCTCCTGCTGCTGCTGCTGTTCCTGCTCCCGGTCGGGGAGGAGCCCCGCAGCTGCTCGCTGGCCAACAACTTCGCCCGCTCCTTCCGGCTCATGCTCCGCTACAGTGGCCCGCCGCCCACCTAACCCGTGGGGGACTCAGGGGACTCTCCTCCCTGACCCTCCGCCGGCCCCCGGGCTGCTTCCCAGCCACCGGCGGGGCCGTCTCAGTATACATACCGTATTAATGTGCCCCAAAGAAAACCACTTTTTCTACAGTGTTGTCTTAGTCTATTTATATGGAAGATGGACTGTGCGTGACCAGGGAATACCGGATGGACTTTTATATCCTCTGTGCGTAGATGCTCCGTCTGTATTGTTTCATATAGGACATCTCTTTGTAGGGGGGACATGCCTAGCAGTGTGCATGTCCGGTGGGATGGGGTGGCATTTTTGCCCTGGTCTGTGGTCCCCCCATCCCTGCGCCCCCCTCCCCCCGAAAGCCAGAGCAATAACATGTCGCTTACGGCCACCGCTTGCCCAGAAGCCAAGCCCCGAGCCCAGTGGTCAGTGAGAAGACCCCCAGCTGTGGACGTGAACGAGCCACACAGGCCCTCGCTCAGCGCCCAGTTACTCCTGCTTTGGGCACAGTGAGGACAAAGGACAGCAGCTTAGATGCTCCGTGTTGAAAGCAGAAATCGTGATGATTGAAGGCGGGCCTGGTGACAGCAGTGACAAGTGACAAGTGATATCAAGGAATGAAAAGAAGAGCTGGAAGGAGCCCCAGCACTGAAACAGCACACAGCAGGAGGGCTCCGTGGGGACGGGGAGGGGGTATGGAGAGCTGGAACCCCGCCCTCCTCTGCCTCCCATAGCACAGAGCCATGGTGGACGTCTGGGGCCGTGACACTGATCTGCCCGCAGCTGAGCTGGGGCTCCACGTGTTCTATGCAAGGAGAAGAGAAAGAAAGAAACCTCATTGCTGGGGTCTTCATGCAGAATGGGGAGCTCTGTGTGCTGCACCCCTGGGGAAGACGTGTCCCTTCTGCCGCTCTCGGGCTTTTTTTCCTGGTCTGCACTGGAGCTGAAGGGCCAGAAGGGGAGCAGCCGGCACGCCAGGCACCAGGGATCTGGGATCCAGGACAGAGATCAGAGATGGACCTTGGAGCTGAGCCTGTCTTGGGGGCTCTGCTCTTCCTCCTCCAACAAGGGACTTCAGAGAGAGGAGGGTCTTCTGGGCCCAGAGTGTCCCACAGGTGTCCTCACAAGGGCCCATGGCTGAGGCCACCCCAAATCCCAAACGAGGGTCCCTCTTGGCAGGGCTAGGCTGTTAATCTCCCAGCACCCCCTGGGGAGGAGCGGGTGGTGGGGGGACTCCATGCTGGGCCCTGAGGCTGGAAACATGTCCCTTCCTCCCCAGGGAACTCTCGATGGCTCCTAAGTGCGTTATAACTGGATCGTGTTTTCCCCTAAATCAACACTAAGTGGCCTTTTAGAAAATGCCTCGTGCCCATTCTTTACAAACTGATTTCGTCTGTTCTCCTCTAGGAGGAGACCAAGGGGGGTGGGGTTATACAGGCCTTTGGGGTCATAAAGTGTTCAGACCCAGGAAGGCCCTCTAAAGGGAGGGAAATTGAGGACCCAGAAGGGTCCTGATTGACAGCACCAAGCCCCGCCCCACAGACCTGCACACATGGCCTCTCCCTGTTCAGTGGCCAACGGCCCAAAGCCAGGCCTCCCTGAAGCTCGGAGAAGCTGGACACTCACAGGTAGGAAAATGGTATCGCCCAGAAGAGGTCTTGGTTTGCACTCGGAAAGCAACTTTTCTCCAGATACCAAGAAACCGAACCACAAGACTATTCGCCGAGACCACTACCGTGGACACTTAGGGCTGAGGGAACCAAGGCCTTGGGCCCAGGTGGCTGAGCCCAGGTGCTCCCTGGGCCATGTGGGTCCGGTGCTGGAAGGTCAAGGTCAGACTAGGGCAGGGCCTTCGAGCAATCTCCATTTCCACTCTCCCACTTTGCAGGTGGGGAGGCTGAGGCCCATCGAGGAGAGGAACTTAGCCATGGCCACACAGGGAGAGGCGAGAAGGCCAGACAGAGCTGGGCACCCCTGTCCCCAGGCTCACAGTGGCAGGACCCCGTTCCCACCATGTCAGCAGCTCCACAAGGAATAGGCACTCCAGGGAAGGCAGCTGTGGCCCCCATCGCGGGGGGGGGGGGGGGGGCAAAATGGGGGGGGGGGGGGGGGGGGGGGGGGGGGGATGTCTCTGCATATTTTTTAAACTTTGATAAGGAGGCCATAGAGCCTGCTTGTTTGCATAATTTTGTAAAAAAATAATTGATATTTTCATTACTTTCTTATAAATACAGTTGTGAAATAACAGCTTACTCGCTGGTGCTTTTCAAGTGTAATCTCTTCTGCTTCAAGTGGATGCAGACAGTTATGATTTTTATGACTTTCCAGCTTCCTGAACAACAACCACAAAGAGCTTTCAAGTGCCATTTGAGAAAGGTGCCCCAGTGGGACCTGCGTGTGTTTATTTTCCCTCTGTCCCCGGAGTGAGAGTCGTGGAAAGAGATGTGAATATCACAGCCCAGCTCCACAAGCTGGCGTGTGTGTGTGTGTGTGTGTGTGTGTGTGTGTGTGTGTGTGTGTGTCACAGAGAGAGAGAGAGAGAGAGAGAAGGAAAGAGGGAGAGAAAGAAGAAGAGGGGAGGAAGAGGAGGAGGAGAGGGGAGTATAGAAGAAGGCAGGAGGAGAAGGGGGAGGGCAGAAGAGGGGGGATTATGGAGGGGATAGGAGGAGGAGAGAGGGGGAGGGCAGAGGAGGAGGGAGTATGGGAAGGGGAAGCAGAGGGAGAGGGGAAGAGGGGAGCAGGGGGAAGAGGAAAACAGTATAATCAAAGGTGCTGGTTCCCTCCTCAAGTGGCCCTCACCCGGCCCTTTCCCCAGCCTCACCTCCATGGGGAAAGGCCCTAGGCATGACCTGACAGTGAGGGGTGCGGGCGGGGGGGGGGCACCCTAGGTGACTCGGGAGGAGCTCCGCATCGGAGCGCAGGGACAAAGGCATCCTCCCAAGAGTGCCTTCTATTCTGTGCTTGCGGGTGCAGTGCCTGGCCCTTGCTTGGTGCCTGAGGAGCTGTATTTCGTTTCATTCCTACGACAGCTCTCGGGGAGTGGCGTTAACTCTGCCTCCACTCGCAAGACAGGAGAGCTGAGACTTGAAGACATAGAGATGCTTGCCCAGGCAGAGGTGGGATTCGAATCCAGGTCTGCCCTGCCAAGCCCACGCGGGCAGGAGAGGAGGGGGCTTGGGGCTGGCCCTGCAGGGGAGCAGGTGCATTTCAGAGAGCGAGCGCTCTGCCCTCTGCTTGGCGGGAGGGCAGCTCCCACATCCGCTTCCCTGCTGGTCTTGCCCGGGGGCTCTGCACAGGGTCACCCCCCACCGTGGGGCAGGTGGGCAGGGGGCACAGTCCCCAGGGTCCTCTACAACACCTCCACACCAGTTATTCCCGCCGTACAGGGAAGCAGGGCTTTCTGCCCATCGCAGGGCTGAGCCCCTCTCTGTCCCCCTGCGTGGTCCCAGACATGGCTGACGTGCCCTGTGCCTAGCACGGGGTGGGGACTTAAGCTGTGCTTGCTGCATCGAGTGAAAAACCCCAGAGGCGAGTGTGTTTGACACCTCAACTCCCCTCCAGGACTCAGAGGAAGCGGTTCCCGGTGTATGGGACTCACTCCGTCACTCACCTCCTTGCTCGGTCTCTGCTCTCACCTCTTGTGGCCGTGGATGTGCACACCCTCAGATCTTCCATGTGTATTGTCATTTCTTTTCTTTTTTTTTTAAGATTTTATTCATTTATTTGACAGAGATCTCAGGTAGGCAGAGAGAGAGAGAGGAGGAAGCAGGCTCCCTGCGGAGCAGAGAGCCAGATTCAGGACTCGATCCCAGGACCCTAAGATCATGACCTGAGCCGAAGGCAGAGGCTTTAACCCACTGAGCCACCCAGGTGCCCCATGTATTGTCATTTCTGTTCCTGGCACAATTATTCATCTGCATTCATGGGTCATGGTAAAAATTTGTGGGTGGAAATGCCAAGTTGAGAAGCCCACTTTCCCCCACTGGAGATTTCCTGGGTTGGAAGTATAGACAATCTAGTGATCGGTTTGGCCAAGGAAGGGTCCACACCGCTGCAGAGCCCCCCCAACCCCACCCCGGAGGCCTCAGCCACCTCCCTGCAACCTCTCTACTGTCCGCCAAGTCCGCAGGGGCAAAGCTGCGCCATCTTTGCAACCTGACACTGACCAGCTGTTTACACCCATGGACCGGTCTGGTTAATGCAGTGTGGACGGGTAGAATGGGTGTGTGTGTGTGTGTATCTGTGTGTGTGTGCACGCATCATGTAAGTGGGTTTTGGCATCAAAGGCAAACTAACTTCACTGTTTAAAATGTTCTGTTATGTAAACAGTATTCGCAGGGACCATATCCACTCTCATCATATTATTTGTGATTGTAAAACACGCATTTGCAATAAATGAAGCTTTCTGGGAAGGCAAGCCGTACCAGAGCCAAGTGAGTGTTCTGAAACGTGTGTGCTTTATCTCGGTTCACATCAAGCCCACGGCCAGCCTAGAGCCCTTCCTGCTCAGGAGGGAGGTACGCGTGGGTTCCTCTCGTCTCTTCTCCGTGCTGTGTTTCAAAGTCCCTTTCTGTTGCTCCAGTTGGAAGGAGCTGTGTTCCCGAAGTCTGGCTTGTTTTTGTTGTTGCTTTATGTGTTTAAAAATGTATCTGCTTTATGTTTGGAAATAAAAAATCTCTATTTTGGTCTATGAAGCATTGTGTGGTTTGGAACATCTTTTTCTGAAGTTGAGGGGCTTTGTCTGAAGGGGTTCTTAGGGAAAGCGGGTAGGTGGTGAGGCCTGACTGGTTTTTAAATTCTGACTTCTGGGCGGAGGCAACTCTGGTCAGGTCAACCTCTGACCTCAGGGCAACAGCGGCTCTCAGCTCGACCAGAATGTCGGGATCATCTGGAAGCGTGCTCACAAACATTACCTGCATCTCCCCAGTGACATTTTGAAAATTCCAAATGCACTGAGGAGAGAGGCGGCCCAAAACAGAGGCAGGCACCAGGCAAATAACAGAAGGCCCTCCCAGCACTTTGCTCTCACCCCTTGGATCAAAACCCCATGTTGATGGTTTGTTTAACAAACAGTTCTTAGGTCTGGGGGTCTGGTTTCTGAACCCACAGGGCACTGGGCGCTGTCCCCAGAGAGG